ATTTTAGACGTAGCTACGATCCGCAACAACGTACGCAATCGTAATTTGTCTAGTCTGTAGTTATGATCCCACAAAAATTCCACTGAGACGCTCAAAAATCGATTACGCACTTATTCTGATGTCCTCGGAGCTGCTCTTGCCACACGTTTTTCCGCATCCAGCTTCGGTCGGCCCAGTAGGGCTTGGATCGATCGGCTCCCTAAAATATCTTGAGCTAATTTTAATCTAAAATTTTTGTACCAAAGTATGTATAAAAAACTTTACGAGGCGGAAAATATTAAAACCTACGGTTTTGGGCGCGATGTAGGGGTCACGAATGTTTTTCCAGCTCTGATGACGGCTCAGCGATTTTTCGTACCTAAATATTGAGCTACCATGTCAGTTAAAGTAGATTTTAATCCCAATTACCTAAGTTTAAAAACAATCGTTTCTAACGCCACCTTCAAAAAATTTGTTTTCAGCACAGATGCTAGTTATGGTCAAGCGAAAATTTCTCCTGCTTGCCCATCCCCAAATCAAGTAACCCAAAACCTACCAATAAGGTATCGTCGTGTACTGCTTGATCTTGAGGGCGGACCCGTCGAGCAGCGTCGGGATGCTGACAACTTTTCCGGATTCCCCAACATTTCGCATGGCGGACTCATCGATAAAAGATCCATTCATCGACCTCGGCTCGGATTTTGAACGCTTTGAGGGGGTCGTGCTCTAAAGTACTGTATTAGCGGGGGTTCCAAATGTGTGAATTTTCCACACGAGCTCACCTTTGTCCTCCTAGCTTCTACCGATCCCTCGCCGTGGTATTCCTGGGCGTTTGATGGATCGTAGAGGTAGCTGTTGGAAGGGAGCCGGGGCTGCATCTCCAGATAGCCATCGTAATGTTCTTGGTGCTCGTACTAAACCAGGTGCTTAGGTATCAGCCTCAAAATCAGTGGTTTTCACTCCTCCCAAGTTCATTTGTTTCAACAAATTTACTACTTACAGATTTTAATCGAGAGGAAACGACGCCGATAATATCACCTTTTCATTAATAAGGAGCACGTTAATCTTTTAGAAAATTTTACTTCAAAAAACGCTTTTTAAATAAATGTTTTTCGAACTTCTTCGAAACATCGAAAAGTTGTTCTTCTCAAAAACCCACTCTTTTGGTAAAATGTACATGGCTTCTCCTTTTCTTTGTGACCATTTTACTTGGTTTTTGATAATTGAAAAATTTGAACGAAAAATCTATTGAAAAAATTATTTTTAAAAAGTCATGGTGGAAAATGCAACTTTCGGGAAAAAGATTTTCGAAAATGTGTATTAAGATCGTAAAGGTAGCTAAAAATACGTAAAAATATTCGGCAATCTTCCAAGTTCTTCGAAAAATAGGAAATGTTCGTTAAAACCCACCTCATGCTCATACTCCGGTTGCGTCACCTCCAGCTCGGCTGTGAAGACCGGGGCGCCGAATTTCTGGTATTTTTCGGAGGGCTAGAACGGCCATGCATCACATTTCAATAAATTAACAGACGATAGCATGAGCTGCATGATATCCGGTTCTCCTGCTCTCTCCAGAAATCTCGAGCTGCAGTGGCCGAGCGTGTGGGTACCTCTCCTGGCCCGAGCTAGTGAAGTGCTGCTCAAATTCGATGCTTTTCACATATATAGTTTCTATACCTGGTTCGAAGATGTATTTTTCGTCTTCAAATGTCGTGGCTTCAAAATGACGCTCGAATTCTGGAGATCGGTTGGGCGACGGGGAGTCGGAGCTGTGATTTCGGGGTGATTGTAGTGCTAAAAGTAGCGATGCATATCTTAAAACGATATATGGCTAACCTGGTACTCCCGATGGTAAAAATTTGAGCCCAGCGATTGATTTTGCTCATTTTCCTAAAATTACTTAAAAACAAAGTTTTGATAACGTACGATTTCATGTGCAAATCTGCCATCCGTCCACTCGTTGAACTGGTTTTTCACGGAGCTGGGCATCTTGGCCATGTTGTGGGGGATGAAGTCCTGAAAAAAACAGCCATAGGATGACAAAAATCGAACTCTATCTCTCACTTGCTCTGGCTCTCTCGTTCACTTTCTCTCTCTCTCTCTGGCCTCCCGCTCTCTCTCCTCTCTCTCTCTCTCTCTCTCTCTCTCTCTCCCTCTCTGGCCTCTCGCTCTCTCTCTTTCTCTCTCCCTCTCTCTCTGGCCTCTCGCTCTCTCTCTCTCTCTCTCTCTCTCTCTCTCTCTCTGCTCTCTCTCTCTCTCTCTCTCTCTCTCTCTCTCCTCCCTCTCTGGCCTCTCGCCTCTCTCTCTTTCTCTCCCCTCTCTCTGGCCTCTCTCTCTATCTCTCTCTCTCTCTCTCTCTCTCTCTCTCTCTCTGCCTCTCTGACTTACCACATCCCTTCTAACGTTCTCAAAGTCGGTCTCGGTGTGGACGTTTGGGGAACTTTTGGAATAGTGCTGTCCTGGAGCGGCAAAAACGGTACGTCCGGCTTGGAAAGCCTCGAAGGAGGGGTTTCTAAAAATTTCAAATAGGCCTAAAACCTCTAGAAGCTATATCATCAGCAGCTTATTGAAACATTGAGGAATTCCGATAAACCTAGGATCGAAATCTGATCGGAAAACCTCGTACACCACTTAAAACAGCCAAATTGGGTGCCCTACTCCAAATAGCATCATTTTTCAAAGCTAAAAACTGCCTCCTTAGGCACGTGAAACGCTTATCCAAGCTTTCTTCAAACCCGTTTTTTAAGAAGCCAAGAACGAACCTTTGACAACTCGAAAACCACAGGCACATGCCATTCCAAACCCTCACTATTCCATTTTCCATTGCATTCCTCTGTACACTAACAAATTTCCGCATTCCCACCGCAAAAATGCGCACAAAATGCTTGTGTGAATGATGATGCCGCTTGCCTCGTGTTATTCCGCCCCATTCCAATCAACGGTCACGCGTAACGTAAGGGACGCAACTTCAGCAAAATATACTTTATTATTACTGTTTATTAGCCGGGCAATGGAGAGACAGATATACGAGAAAGTCAGGCAAAAACGACAAATAGGTGAAGGCAGTTGGATGTGGTTGGCAAGCTTCGTTCTTTGGCTTGGGCTTAGGCTTGGGCTTTGGTTTACGCTTAGGCTTAGGTTGAGGCTTACAGTAGCGGTCAAAAAGATGTCCCCTCGGGAAATCCTTTGATGCTCTTAAACCACAGGCCCGAATTTTATGAAACTTTGCCACTACGTCGATTTTGATACGGAGAATCCAATAGTGAACTTGAAATCGGCTGAAAATTTCATTTTAGTGATCAAACTTTAATTTTTAAAAAAATCGGTAAAATGAACTTTTTCCTGAGATATTTTCGGGTTTCAAAAATGTGTCCATCGTGTTCGCAAGGGTCGAAAACCTATCTCGAACATGTTTCAAAACATTGATCTCTTTGAGGTTCGCTACCTTGAGGCCGAGAAGTAGTCGCCGCGGGGCGCTTTCCTGGCCCCCATAAGCCTATCCAAAGGATTTTGGCCCGCGCGACAGCAACTTTCGGCCGTCAGTATCGTCAGGCCCCGGCAGAAAAAGTGTCGTAAAATAACGCACTAGTGGTTTTCGACCCTTGCGAACACGATGGACACATTTTGGAAACCCGAAAATCCCCGATGAAAAAGTTGATTTTTACGGATTTTTTGAAATCGACGGTTGACCATTGAAATCAAATTTTAAATAGATTTCAATGTTGCCATCGGATTCCCCGCAACCGAATTGACCTAGACACGACGTTTCATAAAATTTGGGCCTGTAGTTTAGGAGCACCAAGCGATCTCCCGAGGGGACATCTTTTTGACCGCTACTGTAACTTTCGCTTAGGTTTAAGCTTTTAGGCTTAGATTAGGCTTCGGCTCGGGCTTGGGCTTAGGTTTCGCCTTGGGCTTATGCTTAGGCTTGACATAGGCTGAGGCTTAGGCTTGGCTTAGCTTAGACATGATAAAACCTTATAATCGGCAAAAAACTCGAATCGGCAAGCTTCTAGTTGGGATTTCGAACTCGTAAATAAACTATGCAAACATCCTGGCTACTACTGCATACTAACATTGCTAATATTTTAATTGATAAATTTTACTGGGTCGTCGTAGTGGTGTCGGTGACAGTCTTCTTCTTGTAGTACTTGGTGGTGATGTGCCTGGAAAAATGGATTCGGACCACATAGCAAAACCATTAAATATATATAATTTACGTATTTAAGCCTTCGTATTTATGTCGTTTTCAACAACCTTTCTTTTTTCATTTCATTGAACGATAATCCACAAAATATACTATGTTCTCCTAGCCCCTTTATACCCAAAAACGTTAAAAAATGTACAGGGGCTAATGAATGGGCCAGAATCGAGTCTCTGGGCCATTGGTAAGAACCTGGCGTTTATTTCCCTTCTCTGGTAACCGATGACCACATTGGGATGGCCTTCGGACAACAATGGAAGGTGCGGCGGGGGGCCGAACTCGCGACTCTCAACCCGGTGGGCGCGCCCCGGAACCAATATACCACGGCGTCAGTCCCGGTCCGGCGCTCCCAGGGCCCAAAGAGAAAAAGGGAGCGCTGCCTATTGAGTGGCCTTGTGCTATTTTTCGGTTTACCATAAATTTCCGATGATTTATAAACTAGGAATAATTTTCTGCTATAGATTAAAAAAGTATTAGAGATTAATTGATTAAAAAGAAGCATGTAAAAGATGTCAGCGCTCTTTGGTCGCCGACGCCTCATTGAAGTTGTTTCGTGAAAGTTTCTGTTTGGAAAATATGTATAATTTATTGTGTAATTGATTAAATAAAATTTCTACAATCAATTCCATGTTTAAATAGATCATAACTATTTATAGAAACAATTCGCTGTCATTAAATTTTTCGGAAACCTTTTGAAACGATGACCCAAGCCTTTTTCCGCAGCTATATTTCTGTTTAGGCTATGTTTAGGTTTTTCGGGTATTAATTGTCAAAATTTAAAATGATTATCTTCAAAAGAAGCGGATGAATTGATTTACCTGGACAATACGCCCGGCTCCAGCTCGTTCTCGACGACGCGGCGCTCCTCTTCCTGAAAAAATCGAATTAAGCTAATTTCAGGGTTTTAACTATTTGCTTTAGCTCTGAAAAACTATATCACTTACCTTCAACAAGGCCATCTCTCTGCCTGGATCAGCGGTAGTCTGAAGATCGCGCTTGTAGGAAATTTGATGGCCTTGCTGGTCGCGATATGCACCCTAGATTTACAATGAATCCTCTCGGTTCTCTCTCGCTCTCGCTCTCTCTCGCTCTCGCTCTCTCTATCTATATCTCTCTCCCTTGCCTGCGTATTTGCTTGTGTATTCGCGACGGTTCCAAGCGGTAGCGTCTCCGACATTTCCAACTTCCTGTCTACTGGCGGGCCCGATACCTAAATCTAGGCTTAAAAACGAGGAGAAGTGCTTCATTACCGTAGTGACGGTCGTCACTGGTGCCAGAGGAGTCGTTCTGTAAGGAAAAACCAGCATTAAACAAATATAGAATTTATCTTACTGCCGATGCTCATGACGGGTCTCGGTTTTCTTGTTGTACTGCTGCTGGGCCTGGTATTGCTGAACAACCGGCTGGGCTGGGCGAGTTTCTTCGCGGGTCGTTTTCTATAAAAGAATGCAAAAATACAAGGACTTAAGGTATCTAATGGGTATCTATAGCTGCAATACAAAATTGAATTAAAACTAGTAAACTCGATATTGATTGATTTTTAACGTTTATCAATTTGTTGATGTTTTTTGGGCGTTTACCAAGTTTTAGGTATGATCCCAGGGCTAACGAACTCCTATACGGCTTCATATTCTTCAATGATGGCGTAACGCCATCTTGGAAAGTTATTAAAAAACCTATCACCTCCTCGCGACGCTGCTGTTGCTGCCACTGCTGCTGGTAGACCTGAGGAGGTTGTGGAGAGGGCTGATGAGTTTCGGTGGTCTTCTAAAGCCGTTTTTGGCGTTTTCGATTGTTTTGTCCATTTTTTGTGTAAATTAAGCTCTTTAACCCTTCATTTTTATACGGATTACAATAGACTGTTTGGCCTACCTCCTCACGCCTCGACTGCTGCTGTTGCCATTGCTGCTGGTAGGCAACTGGTTGTGGGGATGGCTGATGGGTTTCGGTGGTTTTCTAAAAGATGCTTATTTAAGGTAACAAAACTGGCAAATTAGGCCTAGAAAATCAATAAAGTACCTCCTCTCGCCGCGTCTCCCGCTGCTGCTGCCAGTACTGCTGCTGTTGTTGAACTGGCTGGACGACTGGTTGCGGCTTGTGAGTTTCGGTGGTTTTCTAGAAGAATTGGTTAGATCTCTCTCTCTGTCTCTCTCTCTCTCTCTCTGTCTCTCTCTACCTCCTCCCTTAGGGTCTGTTGTTGCTGCTGCCAGTACTGTTGTTGCTGCACTGGTGGTGGTTGTGGCGAGCGGGTTGTCTCGGTGCGAGTCTAATCAAAAGTTTGACATCAGGTAGATAGTCGGTACTATTTAATGTAGGCGTAAGGTATCGTTAGGTATCGCTTAAGAGATCACCAGTTAAGGTATCCTACCTCTTCCCTCCTGCTATGACGCTGCTCGTGCCATTGCTGCTGGACCTGCTGGGGGCGGATCGTCTCTTCGCGGGTGGTTTTCTAGAAGGGGTTTGACCAAAATTCCCAAAGGATCTCTGTTAGCTCGCCCGGTTTCCCTGGACTGTAGCTACTGGTACTTCCAAGCCACTATAATCACAACCTTACCGTTTCCTTCCTCTGCTGTTGCTGTTGCTCCCACCATTGGGCCGGGCGGACGTGTTCGTTGCGGGATTTTTCCTGAAAAATATACAGGTGATTTTGCTTTGGAGGTTTGATTAACGGAACATTCAAGGTGCCAGGCTTTAGCCTCAAGGTACCAGCTTTTGGAAATTACCTCACGACGCTCCTGGTAGTACTGCTGTTGCTGCTGTTGTTGCTGATAGTTTTGTGCCGGAGCGGCTTGAGTGGAGTCCTGAATTTGCACAAATTGTTGGTTATGGCGGGTATCTGATACCTTAACTGTATGCGTGGTGGTCGACTGGGTCTGGAAAATGGCTTGGGGAGGCGGGGTTTTGGCGGGTTGCTAAACAGGAAAGCGTGAGCAGTAATGTGATCGTATATTGGGGGAAGGACAAATCAATGTTCGGCGATGACCGTAAATCTCATCAATATTCACCTGAGAGTAGGAGTAGGTCGTGGTGCGGGTCACAGGAGCGTTCTGAGTCTGGAAAGAAAAGTTTTTAGGTAATCGATCTTGTTATATAACCAGGGACGTAGCGTAATACAGGCCCCGGGGCATTTTTCAAAACTTTTTGCCTGCGGCGCTGTTTTTTCGGCAAGGTTTTGAGTTTTTTGGAAAAATATTTTGGGGGCCGCCCGAAATTTTTTTCTGGCTACGCCCCTGCATATAACCAAACCTTATGTAAAAATATGAAATAATAGCTACATCCAGAAGTAGCACTGCCTTCTGTATAGTTACTTCGTAGTTTTTGCCATCTAATTACCTTTTAGGCGCTAATTAATGCGAGCACGTGATTGATATTAATTTTAAATGAGCTGCAATTTCAAAGATTTTTTAATGTGTTTGGGTGTGTTTCAGTTTCAGTCGATTCTTAAATAACACCTTTGTCGTAGTGGTAGTGGTCCTCCTAGTCTCGCGCTGCTCCTGGTGCTGCTGGTGTTGTTGCTGCTGCTGACTGTGCGACGAAAAGTTCTGATGCTTCATCTGGGGCTGCTGGTTTTGGGTCGTCTAAATTGATAGAAACGTAACTGAATTTTCCGATATCTCACTAGAAATCTCAGCAAAAAGACTTGAAAACCAGGTTAACACGATCAAATCAACAGAAATCGAGTTGAAATCAAAACTAGGTTTCTAACCAAATTTTCACGATATATAATTTATTCAACACCGGATTGTAGTAAATAAAGCGTCTACCGTATCTTTTCATTTTGATAAAGTGACAGCGGGGTTGTGACACAAACTTAAGCTTCAAAACAACAAAAGCAGTGATAAGAAAAGCGTAAGCTACCGAAGTAATCGAAAATGCAAAATTTGAACTAATGTCTGAAAAAATCGGAAAGATATTCAGAAATCACGTCCAGCAATCCAGGGTCCCAACGAGATCTAGCAGTTTTTGGCGGTGCGGGTCGTGGTCGTACAAATTTTCACGGCTGTACGCCCGAAAGGCGCTGCGGTGGCCGAGGGGCGCCTGCAATGCAGGCTTTAATGTAGTTACGACAACGATTTTACGAATTCTGATATTGCTGGACGTGATTTCAGGGCTTTACAATAAGGTTTCACTACAGCGGTCATGAAACTTATGCATCAATTGATGTATTATGTATCGCAGAACTTCTGACTATTTTCATAGCCTAAATTACGACTTGGCTATTCTTCAGCTTTGGGTTACCACGCCAACAATCAGAACGTGTTAGTGAAAAGCCAACGAGGAAAATCACAATTTCCATCACTTACCGTGGACGTCGAGTTGGTGGTATACTGCTGCTGATAATGTCCGCCACCATGCCCACCCGGTCCGTACTTGTTACGGCGTTCCTGAAGGAATAGCTGAATTTAGAGAGAGAGAGAGAGAGAGAGAGAGAGAGAGAAAGAGAGATAGAGCCCTCGCCAACCTCCAAATAGTCGAACTGCGTCTTGTTGAAGCCAGTATTTGCAACATAGTCGGCATTAGTCGAACCATCAGCGTTATGGGAGTAGTTGTAGTTTGTAGCCGATTGCTGGGTCTGGAAGGAGATCGAGGTATTTTTTCCGTATTTGCTATCACCTGCACCGGTCCAGTCGAGCTCTGCGAGTAGGTGTAATGGGTGTTCACCGGCTGACTCTGATGGTAGGTGTACGAGGAGTTGGAGCCGAGCTGGAGAGTGGTAAGGTATCCTACTATATCCTACTATATATAAAAAAAATAGTGTTTGTGTGTGTGTGTGTGTGTGTGCATTTGCATGCAACTTCCGTCACCGTGTTCCAGTAGTATCTCAAGAGGGGAGCAAGTTAGGGGGATGTTTGATACGTCATTAGGTGTGCAAGGCTCCCGAGATGACTGCACACATACTACATTTTACAAAATATGCTGTTTTCGACATTAAAATTAAGTTTTTCATGGAAAATCGGAGACCCCTCTTTGTTAGGACCAAATTAGCATGCACCGGAAGTCGCGGTAGGCTATATAAAGGGACGGAGAGAGCAGTTTTCCTTTTTCGCCATCTGTATCCGCGAAAATTATGCAAAGCCAAGAATATCATGGGCGCAGACGGGGCCAGGGTTGAAAAGTCGCGAAGCGGCTTTTCAACCCTGGTATAAAAAAATTAGTGTCTGTGTGTGTGTGCATTTGCATGCAACTTCCGTCACCGTGTTCCAGTAGTATCTCAATAAAGGAAGAAGTTAGAGATATGTATGATACGTCATTAGGTGCGTAATGGTCATGACACGACTGCACACCTATCAAGGTTTTGAAAATAAGCTGTTTTCGATATTAAAATTAGGTTTTTGTGAAAATTTCGCTCAGCCTCTTTGTTAGGAAGTATTTAGCATACGCCGGAAGTGAAGCTAGCCTATTAAAAGGGGGGAGAGAGCCGTGCTTCTCATTTTTTCGTTCATGGGATGCGGGTGGAATTATGCAAAGTGTAAACTTTCATACGGCCCAGTCGGGGCCCGGGTTGAAAAGCCGCGAAGCGGTTTTCAACCCTGGTTGCATTTTAATTACGTTCCCCTCAATTTGAATTTGAAATTTGATTGCAAAATTTGGCTGAATTCCCGGTCAGGCGGTCCGCGGGTGGACGGACATTAGAAATTTATATATAGCAGATGTTTTATTAGGTTTTTGGAAATGAAATGCCCAAAGGTTTAAAGGTTTTAGCGCATTCGTTTGGGGTGTAAAAAAGAATCGTCGTGTTTGCCAATGTTGCCTACGAGACGCTCCTATCTGCTCCCTATCAAGTGCGCCGCCAAATTCTACGTGTTTCGACTATAATTTACTCAATTTTATAGCTTCGGGCTTGTTTTTCACGTTAATACTTTATCCACCCATCTTTCCCACAAACCTGCCCAGCAGCTCCCTGCCAAACGTTTTGCTTCTGCTGGGCGTTGGAGGCCCAGTGTGGCGGAGCATCAGCTGGCACTTTGGCTGAGGCCGGGAGAGCCAGCCTAATTTGCCAAAGATTAATTATTCAAACTGGAAACGTACTTAGCGTCATTATCCCAAGCCTTGTGCTCCCAGGCGCCACGTCGCTCATTGACGGTGCGCGTCCAGTTTGGCTCGCGGGTCCAGGTCTGAAAAATGTAGTCAGGACGTCCTGGTTTTTTTGGGTTTCTTGTCAGCCTTCAAAGGAAATTGCAAGGCAAGGCTATGGATTTCTGGGTCACGAATTTCTAGGGATGTTCCGCGACGCGATACGCAAAAGCGCTCAAAAAAACTTAAGTTTTTCCAACGACGTGGTAGGACTCGTAATGCGTTGCATAATGAAAAGACTATGGCGCGCGTTAAATGCGCGTTGCGTGTTGCGCCTCCTTCAGAATTTATCAGGAAACCATAGCGTGATTGGAGGGTGAAAACACCAATGCCTTACCAATATTATTAGCTATGAAATTATAAATTGGATAGATATTTCGTGCCGAATAGGGAAATTATATTGCGTAACGTAGAAAAAAGAGGCAATACGTGCTTGAAAAGCTACGACTAGCGACTGCTAATTACCATGTACTAACACAACCAAAAATTCTATCTATATAACATGCCATGGGCCGGGTGTGAAGCGGATCCTCTCGGGTCTCCCAAGCAAAGTGCTTTTCCAGACTCTTCTCCCTCCATGTTGGTGTCGTTTCGCGTTTCCTCGGAACCAGGGCCTCATCGTTAAGCAGGGTATGAACGTTGACCTGAAGAAGGGCATGGTGGGTGCGACATGCGGGAAAGCGGGAGTGGTAAAAAGGGGATAGCTTGCAAAAAATCAGGCTCTATTATAGGTATTGCAGCGTAATAAAGCCCTACGGAAGTGCTGGATTTTAAGTTTAAGATATTGAATTTCCTCATAGCTAAAGTACCGTTTTGTCCGGTCCATAGTAAGGATGCGGATCAACATTCTCACGGTTGCGCCAGACGTCGCGCTGCTCTGGTGGAGCGCTGGACCTGTAAGATTGATAGCGTTTATAATAGAGAGAGAGAGAGAGAGAGAGAGAGAGAGAGAAAGAGAGAGCTAACCTTGGAGCCGAAGCGCTCCTCGATCTCCTTGTGTAGTTGGTACAGAAGGTATTATCGTTGTGCGTCTCGGCCCTGCGACGGGTCGTGTGGTGATCCCTCTTGAAGCCCTCAGTCGGGCGGAAGGCCGTTCCCATCGAGTCGTCTTGCTAAAGAAGGTAAGGGGGTATTTTGCGTACTACATGCGTGTAGGTGCTACTAGCTTAATGAGCTTGTGCTCGGTCCAAATCTAGGAAAACTTACGCGACCATCTCGCCTATCGCGTCCAGCCCTCATGTTGGACACGGTGTCGCCAACGAGGAGATGGGGATCCACCTAAAGCTTTAATCATTTCTTAGATTGACGGAGGTTTAGGCCTAGGCTCAGGCTTGGTCATAAGCTAGCTTAGGCTTGGGTTTGAGCTCAGGCTTAGGGCTTGGCCAAGGCTTAGGCTTAGGCTTACCGAGTCGACATTCGGAGCGAGCGCAACGTTGACTGGAGCGTGCGGATCAGCCGTGTACTTTGACCTGAAAAACTCAGCGTTTAAAAGGACCGACAAAGCAAAACAATTTTTTTTTGACCGTGGATGCACTATATAAGCGTCTCACCTCCTCCTTGGCGGGTCAGGTCCGTGTCCATGGTAAGGTCCCGGAGCCACATATCCGGTTCCGAAATCGGTACCACCAATCTCGTAACCTCTGGGAACGCGCTTCTCCTCCGTCTGGCGTTTGGTATACACGTAGTCATACGGGCCGGGTGGGTCAAAATGAATGTCCCCGCGGAAGTCCATACCGCCGCACTCGTAGCCTTTCGGACTGAAAAAGAGGGTAATAGTCGGGTGCGAATGACATACGAAAACACACTTGGTGACCAGAAATAGCTCGTAACTTACGTCTTCTCCCTATAACCATGGTGCTGATGGTTTGGCTGGTTGAACTCGGCGTGCGCCCAGTAAGGAGTACCACCTCCCTTGTTATCGTGCACATAGGTTTTAGTCTTTTCCTAGAAACGAGAGAGTTCAAAGTCTTTTTAAGTTTGCTAAATGGCTAAAACTTCGGCTCTCTCTCGCTCTTTCTCTCTCTCTCACTCTATATCCTTCTCTCCCACTTTCTCTCTCTATCTCTCTCTCACTCTCACTTTCTCTCCCTCTTTCTCCGTCTATCTCTCTCCCGCTCTCTCCCCCGCTCACTAGCCCTCTCCATCGCTCTATCTCTCCCTTTGTCTCTCTCGGCCTCCCTCGCTCTCTCTCCCACTCTCTCGACCTCGCGCTTGTCGCCACTCACCTGGAACTCTCTCCAATCTGGATCCCTGGCCGGGGTCTTGCTGCCAGCTCGCTGATCACGTTGATACTCATACGACCAGGTCTCACCAGGCTCGGATTGGGCGCTAAAAATTGATAATGCGGCAAATTCTAGTTTTAACTGTCATTCAAAAGTTTCTTAACGCCGTAATTTGGAAAATTCAAGGACTAACCGATATCCAGGCGTCATCGACCTGGCCCTCTCGCTCTTCTCACGAGCAAATCCGGCCCATGCGGGTTCCTGGAAAATTCCGATGTTTAATTATAATATTAATCGGTTAAATACCGTTTCATACATTACTAAGATTATATTACTTACCGGCGACTTGAACTCCCTTGGCTGCTCGATGGCATTGATCTGTTCTTCCAGACTTGGGCCATAGCCGTTGCGTTCTCCTTCCTGAAAATATGGTCATGTTCTCTAAGTTATCTCTATCTCTTTCGCTCGCTCTCCCTCCCTCCCTCTCTCTCTCTTTCGTTCTCTCTCTCACACTCTCTCTCTCTCTCTTTACCCACATCAGTAGAAGGTTCACTTACCTGAATATACCTCAAAGTCGCGCTTCGATTCGGGTCAAAGTGTTTCTCAGGAAGCGGAGCCGGCAGCGGGGCTGCTCCGGCTCCGATTTGCTGCACGTACTGCTCCTGGGCCGATTCTCTGAAAGAAGTGCATGTGGTAAGCGGCTTAGCTCGTGCCCTCTTCGGTTTTTATTTAAAAGATTCTTTTCAGAAATTTCATAAATAATATTTTGATGGGCACATTTGAAGTGATGAGTCACGTTTTTCATGAACTTTGCAAAATTCGTCAAACCTTACATGTCGTTTCAAACCATTTTTCCGAGCCGGAAAAACTGTAAACAAAACTCAGTGGGTTGCAACAAATCCGCGGTTATTCACAGAAAGAGAGAGAGAGAGAGAGAGAGAGAGAGAGCGCGGGAGATAGAGATCCCATGCACCGGCGGGGTCACCTGGTGACTCTCCGAGCATGGGCCGAGCGCTAATCCCCGGCTAACAAGTCCACCCCACTCATATTTACGAGTTGGCCGAACTTGAGCATGGCACGGAAAAGCCGAAAAATGTGGCTGTGGCTAGTTTTATTCGGGTCGCCTGGGTTGTGGCGGTTTCGGGCGTGGTTTTTCCTCATTTTGCCCACTTCCGGTTTCGAAAACCGAATTTTTACATATCTGGTAGTTCAAGGTTGAGGCTCGTAGCTCTCGATATTACGTTGCTGCGCATTATCGTAAAAAAGCTATAAGGCTTGCCCCATCGATCAACCAGGTGAGGCTCCGGCTTGGGCCTAGACTTATTCTTGCGCCCGGGTTCAAGCTCAGGCTTAGGCTTTTGCATAGGCGTTGGCCTAGGCTTTGGTTTAGATTGTGCATTAAGCATAGGATTAGCTTGGTCTAGGCGTTGTCCTTTGGATCTGCTTACAATTAGGCTTATTATAATTCTTATGCTCGGGCCTGGGCTTAGGCTGAGGTTTAGGTCTTTAAATCGCGCAACATGAAGCCTCGGTTCAGGCTTGGCCTAGGTTTGGGCTTGGGCTTGGGCTTAGGTTTTGGCAAGAGCTTAGGCTGAGGATTCGATTTTTGGCATATGCTTAGGAAAAAGTCTTAGATATTAGCTTGGGGCTGAGCTTAGGCTTTGGCTTACAAGGAGACGTTTTTGAGTGTCGTCGGGACTTTGGCATGGGACCAAGCCTATCTTGTGCAGAATTTTACGCTGATTCCGAATATGGTAACCGTTTTTGCGGAATAGCCATTTCTCGAAAGTTATGAACGATTTAAACCTCAAAACAGCCCAAAATCGGCTACTTTCAATAGTCATAAAAGGCTTCGGAATAGGTTTTAGACAAAACTTGAGTGTGCATCTTGTTCAGAAAAAAATTCTCTATAAAATAAGCCACTTAACTCAAAAATGCTGAAAATTTTTGTAAAATTATGGACCTCCCAATTTATCAAATTTTTCCAATCTCCTTGTTAGGTTCGGGCTTCGGCTTTGGCTTGGGCTTGGGTGTGGGCCTAGGCATGAGGCTGGTTTTGCCTGGAGCGTTATGGTAATTCGTTAGACGACAGAAAGCATCCTTTAAAAATTTAAGCTATTTTTAGCTTACCCTTCTCTAGGGATATCGCTTTACCCTTACTTTCCGAAGCCATAGAGTTCAATTGGCTTTGCAAGCCCGAAAAATCTATTTGCCCATTCGAAATCGTTGACCTCTTTTTCACTATCTCTGTGTGGCGTGTGCCAATTTTTGGCACCTTGGCGTGAATTTCCAGAAAAAGCCCACCGTCGCCTCTGCTGGCCACGCGGGCCAACCATTTTGGAGAACAAACAGATCGGGGCGTGATATAAAGGTGAGAGAAGCGAGAAGTCACCACATTATACCCCGGGACCCAGCGGTCTGTTTTGGTAAGAAAGGTGGGTATATTTTTGCATTAAAACTGCATTGAAGTCTGTTGAAGCCTTTTATAATTTTTTTCAACATAGCTACGCATTAAAAATATAATTTTATTCTCGTAAAATTGAGATTAAATTTCATGCAGTAACCATAAACTTCATAAATTCTACTGAAAAACCTTTTACCACTAATTATAACTCAGCTTGGTTCGACTTTAGGCATGAAAAACGGATTTAAGACTTTCATTAATGCTAGTATTACAGCTATTAGCTCAGGATTTAGCTTACAAGTAACTGTAAGTTGTTTTTTACATTTTTCTTGATATCCAAAAATTTGGGCTGTTTTGTCACTTGGCGCTCGAAATTTAGAACGATCTTTAATAAGTGCACTAATGATACCTACGTAGCTCAGAATACCTTCATAAACTAAGATTTTTTTGTTTAAGATGGCCTCCAAAATCATCCTCCTTATCGCCTGCGTACTTGCTGCTGGATTGGTCCAGGAAACCTCGGCTCAATGGTACGATTTTTTGGTGAACTTGTTACTACTAATTGCCTGTCTAAAACTAGGGCTGAAAAAACCGTATAAAATTTAATAAGAGCGAGAAATAGTCATTAAAATCAATTCTTTTCACACGAGAGAGAAGATAAGCGCATCGAAAAAGACCGAAAGCAATTTTTTTTCAGGTATGGAGGTTACGGCTGGCCTTCCTATGGTTATGAGTACGGAGCGTATCCGTATGGCGGCTATGGAGGATACGGATATGGAGGATACCCGTACTACGGAGGATACGGAGGCTATGGTGGATACTACGGATATGGCAAGCGCGAGGCCGGATTTGGGGTGGGTTTTTAGCCCCTAGTCTTTAGTTTTTAGCAGCTTTTGCATGATTTGGATTCAATGAAAGTTTCGATACTTCTATTTTAAGGCTTCCAGTAACAATGTGTGTTTTAGCCCCAACAACCCCAGCAACAGCAGCAGCAACAAGTCCAAAACCCGCGGTTCCAGCCCCAGCTCGCCGCCGCCCAGGCCTCGCAAGCACCAAGCAATGGAAACAGCAATAACTAAGCTTGCATTTAATTTGTGTTGAAAATTCACTACCTACATTTTTCTTTTCAACTGTACAAAAAGCTCCACCATTGCCCGAAAGCGTGCTCAACGGAATATTCGAATAAACTACTCAAGGCTAAATGACTGCTTGTTCAATACGCTAAGATACAGACTACAGCAAGGTATCATCGGTTTTCAGGGTTTTTGGACGTAAAATACGCGAATAAAAATACATAATAAAGGAAATGAACCCTCCTTGTTTTCTCGCCTTTTCGAGAGCTTTCGTTTGATACCTAAACGGTAAAAATCGGAAACGACTGCGCGCTGCTAGGGGGTACTTTTTTTTGGGACACCCTGTAGACGATTAGACGTATCTAGACGTTATCATGCAAAAATCTTATGTCCGGCCAAACCCTCACGCCTCTAGTCTAGTTGCCCAAAAATTGGCCGAAACCGATCAATTTTCTTTGAATTTGCCCCGTGTTGAGGAATTTTTATAGCCTCCACCCCCCTTAATAAACCAGCTCTAGTTATACTTCAGATTTTGTGGCCGTTTACCCGTCATTAATGCACCATTCCAGGTCATCAAACCTTGTTTCAACCCATCTGACCTTTGGGAAAAATCTCCCCGCTCTAGGTTGTAATGCCCAAGTGATTAGGCGTTCGATTTTCCGCTCCCCGGCCGCTCTCGACAGGGTGCTGTGGCAAGTTTCTGCCCCCTAATTTCTCGGGCTCAAGCTCCCCGAGTTTTTTGAGGCCCAGCCTTTCCAGCTCGAGGGCCCACCCGGAGGGGGTGTAATAGAGGAATGGCCGCCCATCCCCAACCAACCAACCGCCCAGCAAACAGTCTACACAACGGACCCCCGGAAAAAAGGCCAACCCAGAGGAAAGTGTGTGAAATTTGAGATGACATAGAGAAAGAGAGTTTTGAAGATTTTTTTAGCATAAAACGGTAAAGTTGCGATATTCGGGATATTGGAGATTTTTAAAAGTTTGGTAATCGGTAGTACCAGCAACCCACGCCAATTGGAAATTTGTATGGATTTTCTGGAAGGCGATCGTACCCTCGAAAATCCCATTTCCGAGAATAACTTTTCAAAAAAACGTTTTCGATGATAATTTTTTCGAAAACTAGAATTTTGAGAAATGAGCAAAAAAATCTAATTGAGCGTGATGCACGTTTTATTGCAGATGCACAAAGGTATCGCGATAACGATGTTGAAATCAAATCATTGATAAGCCGACATAACAAAATATTCATACCTGGAATAGAGATCGGCCGGCGAGTTGTACTGCAAATGGGCAACGTTGGGCATGGCGGGTCGTTCGCGGGGGCCTTGGGGGCTGACCGTCTGGATGCGAGCCGGCTGCCGGTCCTCGCTCGTGAAGTTTAATACCTGGAAATACAGAAAAGTCGCTTAAATTTGCTTTTTTAAAAAATTATCAGACGCTCCAGAATAGAAATTAACAGTTATGAAAAATATTAGCTATTTTTATAACGCGTAAACTTGCCCAATGACCGAAAAAATAAGTAGAAACGTCAGAAATCAAAAAAATCTATCAATTAAAAATCCCAGCTATCGATTGGCAAAAAGCAAGGTATAAATCTAATGATGCTTGAGGTAGAGGTATCATTTTTGGGCTTTTGCCGAAATTTTTAGCGTAAAAAACCATCAAACCTAGCCAATCGAGTTTCGGAAACAAGACTTTTCCCCAAGTTAATAGAAAGGACCAAAGCACCCAAAATGTCAATCCCCGGAAATCCGAGCGAAAAGCCAACAATCCAGAGGGTAATTTGAGAGCGGATGATGTTCCCGCTTCCGGGGCCAAGTGGGACGAATTAACACAAACACACCGTCCGCCCGAAAGGCCCGGACCCCGGGCTTAGGGCGTGAAAAAGCTGGTCTCGACGGGAGAGAGGGACAGAGCGAGAGAGAGCGAGGGAGCGAGGAAGAGAGCTGCTGTGAGCACCGCCTACGGTTCTCACTGGCTTGTGAGAGGGGGAGAGGAGGAGCATGAGCTGACGTGCTGTGTTGAGTGATGGGGAAGTAGGCAAAATAATGGGGTTTTTTATAAAAACAAAATGATAAAGGCGTACTTCGAGAAGAGAGACAGTGGCAGAGACAGAATGAGAGAGAGCGACAATGCCAGAAAGAGAGAGAGATAGAGAGAGCGAGAGAGAGAGAGAAAGGGAGAGGCGGGGAGTGAGAGAGAGAGAAAGGCAGGAGCGATGGAGAAGTGTACTTACCCTCGGAATCGGAATCCGATGATGTCGCATCGGTTCTCCAGGAGTCGGCCGGGAGTACGAAAATGGAGATTTTTCACGTGAGGAGCGATCGAATCTGAAAAGTTTGGAATTTTTTCGATTCGGAGTGCCAGCCGGTACTTGGCTATTAGCAGGGGGTTATCAGGGGAACATGTATAAGCCATGTTAAAAAATAAATAGAATCCGGCACAATCTTGGTTCCTTCAGAAGCCGACCTCCCAGCCAGGGCCGCCGGCACCGCGACCCCGTCCACCTGGACCTCCTTCGTCATCTGGAAAGTAGCGTTGTCTGGAGTTTCTGCTCGTAGAATGATAAAGGGTTTATAAGAATTTATAACATCCTGATTAATACCCAAGACCCGGCGAAAATCCGCATTTTTGGCGGCCAACAACTGTTCGGAGGCCCGCTTGGGTTGGAGCGACAGGTTCCTGGCCCCAGCTGGCACATGTGGACCTTTTGGGACTCTTGGCTGGCTGGATGTGACGGCTAAAATAAAGTTAACGAATTGAAACTAGCGCCGATATTCGTAAAACAGTATATGTGACAGTTTTTGGATTCGAAAACACCGCAAAAATTAAAATTTGGGTTGAAAATTAGTTTAACAGAAATTTTGCATTTCCGGTTGCCAGGAGAGCTGAAAAAAAATCACGATTCGCCTCATTTCCAACTTTCTACTCGCCGCCACCAGCGTTTCATGAGTGGCGTAGTCAGGTATGCAATCATTGAAATTATGCAAATTCACATTATGTGCAGCGGCTGCAGCGTCGAATACACCGGAGATGGAGGGCACGCATGTCTCGCGCAAGGGCTCAACTTTGCCGGCGTCAAGGGGTAAATCTCAACTATACGTTACGTTAAAGGAATGTGCAAGCCAAAAATCATCTACCACAGACAGTTGTTGAGACGTAAATCATACTCGATTTTAGCCGCTACGAGATCCAGACGGTCATCCGGCACCTACAGTATGGCGACATTTTCAAGGTATGCAACTAGAAATACATCTGGCATCATTAAGCGCGTTAATAGACTGATTCATATATTCTGACTTTTTCATAACCGTCTCTTTTAGGTGAAATCCCTCAGTTCCGGCGAGGTGTTCCTGATGAAGTCTGAGGTGGAGGCGGTACCGGAGGATATGGCTCGATTAAAGGTATCTGACCTTTAAAACTCAATTTTATTTATGATTTGAAAAACCTTAATAATCATTACTGGAAATCGAATGAATCTTTACTCCCATCAGCGTCATTTTCAGAAAGAAGTCGGCCTGCTTACAGACGTCGAGAAGGACCGAGTCAAGACGCCCGGAAAATACCCGAATTTTCCAGTGTCGGGTTTTACAGTATCGTTCTTTTATTGCTTTTTTTAGGCCCCTCGACCGCGGCAGGGTCGAGAAGCACTTCAAGTTCCTCGTGCTCAAGCTCGTCGGCCCGGATTTGCATGTAAATCCAATAATTTGGTCCAAAATTCGGTTCAGTACTTGAGATCGAAGGTGCTGAAGCGGAACTTCTCGAAATCTACCGCTCTCCGGCTGGCCTTGATGACGCTGAAGGCGATGGCCGACTTGCACGAGATGGGATGGATTCATCGGTGGAGAGGGGATTTTATTCATGGCGAGACCGCAATGCGTCTGCGACAACACTCAGCGCTTTCGCTGAGGCGACACGCAACGCCACAACCCCCGCGACACGCAACGCTTCCCCGAATGCACCTGTGTCAATTAACGCGCATACTACCGCAACACACAACGCATCAGTTTACGCGACCTAAAGGGTCTGATCCGGCAATTGCCTCCTTTTTTTCAGCGACATCCGCCCCGCCCAGTTCTGGGTGGGCTACGGCCCGGACTGCATGAACCTGTACCTGGTCGACTTTCTCAAGATTCGCCAGTACCAGCGCAGTAACAAGGTCCATCTGTGGGTAGCTCAAGTCGCCGATTAGCCTCACAAGCAAAAGAATCCGGTGTTTTTTTAGGAAAAAGCGCCCGGGCATCATGAGTGACGTCAAGTACAGCCATCATCGCTACCTATCCAGACAGGCCGCGCAGAACTTTGATCAGAGCCGTCGGGATGACTATGAGATGTGGTGGGGTGTCGCGCGCCCTCTCTCTCTCACTCTCTCACTCTCGCTCTCTCTCTCGCTCTCTCTCTCGCTCTCTCTCTTCTCACTCTCTCAGTCTTTCTCTTCCCCCCCCCCTTTCTCTCTATTTCTCTCTCGCTCCCTCTCCCGCTCTCTCTCTATCGCGCTGTCTTTTGGTTTCTGTCTCTCCCTATACCTCCCATTTAGGCTCTTCATGGTCATCGACTTCTTCGACGACCAAGCCCTTCCTGGTGCAAGATGCGCGGCCTCGAGTCGGTCATGTCCAAGCTCGAGTTCTTCACCACACCCAAGGGTATGTAAAACTTTCTTACGATTTCCACATCCTGATCCAGCCCGCGAGAACACGATCCGCGCCGTCCACCCCGACTTTGAGCTGATCGCCGACATGGTCAACAAGATGAAGTGGGCCTCGGAGATGCGCGTGCCGTTCCTCGAGGAGACGCTGAAGAGCATTGCCGGGGTGGGTTCCGATTAGGGATGGAGATTTTGAGCACTTTCAAATTGTACATCTACGATTCCAGAAGCTGAAGCTGAATCTAAAGGAACCGTTCGATTGGACTCCCGAGATGGCCACCCAGCACGCCAGCGCCACGGCCAGCATTGACGCCTACCAGGCTGGAGCTGATATCGTGAGTCGGGGGTGGAGCCTTTACTAAACGTTTAATTTACTGTAGCTGCAGTCTTACTGTTTTTCAGCAACGCCGCAGCAACAGCGGCAGCGGCGGCAGCAAGAGCAAGAAGCCCCGAGCGGCCGAGGAGTCGCTGAGGTCGAAGAAGAAGGCGCCCAGCCGCCTCATCGGCTCCAAGGAAAAGAGCCGCACGAACCGGCTGCCGGCCAAGAGTCCTGGTAAGGTTCGACATTCCGTTGCGTACTGGCCTCGATTTTTCCAAAACCGCGACGCGGGTCGTGCCTTAAACAGCGTGACAGCCGGCCTCTGTCTTGACGGACATTTTTTTATTGTCTTGCAAACCCCTTTATCTCCGATTTTTTTTCAGCCCAACCCATCGAGGTCAAGGTCAGCCCGCAGAAGCCGGAGCAGGTCGTCGGCGGCAAGGACGACGACGAGGAGGAGGAGGTCAGAGCTTGATGTTACCACCCATTTAACCGGTTTCATTTCAGTTTATGACCCCTGGCGGCGGCGAGAAAGACTACGTGCGCGCCGAGTGCGTGGTGGCCGGGTTGAAGAAGCAGAAGCCGAAGAGGGCCGCGGTAAGAATTTTTAGGCGTTTTAAAGGGACTTGGAAGTCAAAAAATGCCAAAGACGCCAATTTCGCACAAAATAATATAACGTCCATTTTTGTCATTGTTGACGTGAATAAACTTGTTGACAACAAGTTTCAAAGCCTTCAAAGTGCCTTTAATTGAGTATTTCGAGTATTTCGCGCTTCTAGACTTTTTTAGATGCTTTTAAAGGTGCTAGCAAGGCAATGATTCAGAAACTACAACGTTTTTTCTTCGAAATAATTTTGAAAATCTGAAGATCTTAAAATCATAAAATTTTGCAAGACATTTTTAAGACCCTACTTTTTTTCAGGACGAAGAGAACGAGGCGTACGACAACTTCAAGTTCTAGCCCCCGCTGCAACCCACTTCGACCTCCACCTCATCCTCCTCCGCCTGCCCATCCAAGCCAAACCAAGCCAAGCCAAGCCCCTTAAGCCCTCCCCCCTCTCCCCCAAAATATTTGTACATGAAGAGAAAAAACCGTGGTTAAATCAGAAAAGGAATTCTTTTTCGTCGTCTATGACTGCCTTTGCGTGTGTACGTGTACCTGTGACTCTGCCACAACCAGTGAATAAAGCTGTTTTTGGGTTTATTTTTTGCAGCCACGTAAATTGTTGTTGTTCTGAGTTTGTATTTGTACTCAGCTGTGGCTTCAGAGAAGCATCAGAAAGCGGAAATGAGCCTGACATGTAGAGGTTGTGGGGTCACAGAGTCCAAAACAGCTCAAAATTGGTGGAAAAATCAAATAAAATACGGGGAACAGAATGTGATAAAAATTATCTGCCAATGGGCACTTTTGTTTAATAAACTTTTAATTTTAAGATTTTGTATGGAAAACTACCTAGAATCGCGACCTGGGGCGCCAAAACCATTAGGGGCAGAGGAGCCCTCTTGAAGGCTTCCCAAGAGCCACCTCCCGTCGGTTTGGTGGTATAGTGGTAAGGTGCAGGGGTGACAGGCCAGGGGTCGAGGGTTCGGACCCCGTCAATGTTTTTAATTTTTGCTTTTTGCTGTTTTCGCTTTTTTTGCCGAGAGAGGGTCTACAAAGTGTTTTCGAAAGTTTTTCGGTCCTATGAATCCCTAGAAGTTGCCTATGCAGAAAAATAAAATTTCGAAAATTTCGAAGTTTTTGTAGAAAAGGTCTACCTAGCTATTCCGGCTCGATGAAAACCAACTGAATAGTTAATAATAATTATTTTTGAACCAGAATTGTAAAAATAGAATTATTCCGGCAATCTGAAATATCTCGGTGCTCAGATTTGAAGCGCCTCGGAGCCAGAACCACCTATTTTAAGCCGTTTCCAATTCTGCCAGGATCCGGGGCCATAGGATAGGTCGTCAAATTTTTCATGAAAAAAAATTTTATCAAATCAATTTTTTCGGGTGTGGAAAGGTGTTTGGTGTCATGGCTGCTATGAAAATTCCATCAAAACATTTTTTTCCAAGCCGTAAGGCCCGATAAAGCGGCTAAAAGTGCATTTTAGGAGCACTTTTTTTGCATTAAAATGGCAAGTTTATTAAACAAAAGTGCCCATTGGCAGCTAATTTTTATCACATCGTGTTCCCCGTATTTTATTTGATTTTTCCACCAATTTTGAGCTGATTTGGAGTCTGTGACCTCACAACCTCTACATGTGAGTACTCGGTAATTCGCTAAAAAATTCATATTTGAGCTTGTGCAAGGAGCCACTGGCGTAACATCAGGCGTAACGTATCAAAGTTCTTACCAAAAAAGCTTACAACTTCATTTTAAATTTAGACAAAAAAAAATTATTTACTAACTAATTTTGCGAAAAATTGAAGTGTTTGTCCAAATCGAGTATCACTGTGTATTGGATTTTTGAAAACTCTGTAAAACCCGTTTCGACCTGCGCTTTTAGTTACCGTGCGCTTCCAGTAAACTGAAGCAGCACTTTGTTCAGTTTATAGACAATACCTCAAGGACCAAGGGCACAAAAATAGATCAGCCATGGCTGAATTAGCGTCCCCCAGAAAAATAGTAATTGATGCTGCTAAAACCCTAATGCAGAATTTCGGGCCCAGGGGATTTGAATAGTTGAATAAATACGGTATCAGCTGAATTTTGAGTAATTTCTTCCTTGGTTTGAATTCCCGAAATAAGTTCAGGTTGACGAATTGTTGACTACCGGCCTCCTTGATTTTTTAGTAGGAACCAGGGTTGAAAAGCCGCTTCGCGACTTTTCAACCCTGGCCCCGTTTCGGACGCCATACTATTCTACCCTTTGCATAATTGTCCTCCATTCAATCAGAAAAAAAAAATGAAAACAACCCCTTCTGCCTCTTTATAAAGACGAACGCCCACTTCCGGTCCATGCTAATCATTCCTAACAAAGAGGTTTTTACAAAAACCTAAATTTAATAGCGAAAATGGCTAATTTTTAAAAATCTGATATGTGTGCAGTCATCCCTAGACCATTACGCACCTAATGACGTATCATACGTAGCCTAATACCCGTCCCTTCTTGAGATATCTTCCGGACAGACATACGGAAGTGGATGCAAAGTGGCACACACACACACAGACACACAGACACTATTTTTTTTTATATATAGTAGGATTTATGCGCAAATTTGGTTTATGAATAGGCCAATTTGCGATTTTTCTGAGTAATACATAAAACATTTTTGAGGATTGGAGATTTTTGAAGCTTCGCGACCGTGTGCATTAGATATATCTTCGTAGTGTGGGTTTCATGCATTTTAATGCCTCCAAAAACTCCGCATAATAAAATCTTGCCGGTATTCAGCCCCTACATCCGGGTGGTTACCAAAAAAAACCCCGGATGCTTACAAGGGAAGTGCACGACCGGCCCACGAGAAATCGACACGAGACATAGTCGATCTGATAGAATCGGATACGGGGATTCCGAATCTGTAATCAGAATTTGCTAAATAAAACGGAGAAAAAGTTATGAAGCTTCAAAGTTGGCCAAATCGCCAAAAACAGTACCTTTAAGGGCCCGTAAAAACCGGTGGAACGGAATTGAGGGGAAAAGAATTAGTGCAGCTTGTTCAGCAGAAAAAGCGCTTTCGAATGAGCTGTAATATGTAGCATTTGCAAACAATTCACTGAAAAAAAGTTTTTTAGATTCACGGGCAAGGGTATGGCCTGTCAAGTTCATAGAAGAGATTTTCGCGAAATCATCGTAAACTTGAAGTAAGATAGCTCATTCGAAAGCGCTTTTTCTGCTGAACAAGATGCACTAATGGGTTGTGGCAAATTTCCGTTCCCTGGGCCTTTACAGGCCCATAAAAGTCCGATTTTGGGCGATTTTGCCAACTTTGAAGCTTCATAACTTTTTTCTCCGTTTTATTTAGCAAATTCTGATTACAGATTCGGAATCCCCGTGTCCTATTCTATCAGATCCACTATGTCTCGTGTCGATTTCTGGTGGGCCGATCGTGCACTTCCCTTGTTAGAGGCACCTGAATGTGGTTGATTGAATGCAATCAGGAACGTCGCGCAATGATCTCATTATTGCAAAAACCTCTGGCTTGTAGCGTGGACCCAAACAGAATTAGGTCGATGCACTTGCCAGTCGCAGCAACATGAACTTTTCTGTTTAAATACGCTCGAATATCGTGAAGTTCTTTTGCTTTTCCGATTGTTATGATACTGTAATTTTGTAATGTATTTCTTAAATTATGACCATAATAGTCCAAAAATGAATGATGTTTAGCCTATGATCCCCACCGGCTTATGGCCATACCTATGGACCGGAAAATTAAACCAGACGTGGTATAACTGCTCGGTGAAGACGCAGGAGGAATGGTTTGCTACTGGCATCAGAAGGGAGCTGCAAGGAGCTTATTTGTTTGTCAGCGGAATGTTCTTTTTGGTAAGTTATCATACAAAGAAGTGGTTTCATTTTCAAAAAAGTTAAAAAATGTTTAATAAAGTTTTTTGTTGTTGTAGGTTTGCTACACTGCGGCCCTGGTAGGGATGGTTCAAGCCAAGCTGATCTACAAATCCCCGTGCTACGTCATTATGATGTTTATGGGAATTGGTGGGTTTTATTGCTTCCCGTACACCTGGATTTCTGCTCTGTTATATTTTTGGTACGCGTTCACTAATGAGGGGAGCACGAGCTTACCTCGCCTGGCCTCTCCCCCGCTAACGAACCAGGACCTCAATTTCACTAGTGTCAATATGTCAATATGTCAATTTTTTCAGGTGACATTTCCATGCTAATCGAAAGCTCTTTCTTCACTGGTTACCTGATGCTAAAAGGCGCTGTGTTCTGCAACTATCCAATTATTACCTATGTCGTGGGAGCTGTGGGATTAGGTACGATACTTTGAAAATAAGTCTTATAATCCACATTTACCAACACTTGTAACCAGGTTAAAAATTTTTTAACTAAAAATCCGCTTATTTTCAGGCTTTTGGTCGGCTTCTTGCGTCTACTGCATGACGTTGGCTATCAGTCGACTGGCTGAAATTGCCGGTTGGCATTGCATCACTGGTTTTCTGACACGAAGGAACTGTCTGCTTATCTGGTTGGTTTTTCCTACTTTCCCGTCTCTTCAACTCTTCAAAATATGCAATTTCGAGCCAAATACAAAAAGCTATAGGCAAAATCTGAAAATCTAGCCCGAAAAAAATAAAAATTGGTATTCCATGGATCAGTGGAACCACAGCTCCAAAACTCGACTGCAAATCAGCGGCTGTTGTGCCACATTCCTTAGACCTCCGGGGAATTCAGGTTCCAATTCAACTTTCCAGCCTGCTGGCACTCTCCTACAGCGCCTGGGTGACGCTGTTCACCACCACGCCAATGTTCAACTCGACGTTGGGCGCCTGGTTCTTTGATCCGTTTCTTGGAAATCAAGTGAGGGCTTTAGGGAGTTGAGATCGGACCGAGAATACAAAATTCAAGGCTCAACTTTGCAAAGACGTATTAAAGCGTAAAGACTTCTTGGAAAGTATCTAAAAAAACTAAAACGGAAACTAAAATACAAAAAAAAAAACGAAAAAGAGGAACACGAATTTCCATAGAATTTCGCCGCGCCGGCAACCGCAACGCGCGCCCCCATATTTTTATCGCGTAATCGATTATCCCACCTTGGGACCTCAAAAATATGCGCGCGTTGCGTGTCGCGGGCGCTGCTCGCTATGAATTCGGCGAGATCCATAGAAAATCGCAGCGAAGTCCCCAGAAATCCATAGCATCTAACTCGCAGCCGAGCCAGGCAGACACCTTTCAAAAACTGGTAATCAACGAAAGACCCGTAGAATTCTACCTTTTTCAGAGAAAATACGAAAACTTCCCGCACCAAGTCCAGAACATTGTCGTATCAATTTTTGCGATTATCGTCTACGTCTTCATGTGCTGGAAGGCCTCCCGGAAATGGGGATGGTCAACTGGGCTGTCGAAGACGCAGCGATTGGTACTTGAACTGAATGATGTTTTTTACGTGCCTGTAGCTCTACATCCAAGCATTTGTCATCTGCTCCACCCACGTAATCGCTTCGTGGGGCTACATGTTGCTGAACATCATCCCGACATTCCCCCTCGTCCTCATCATGGTCGGCCATCATGCGTGGCAGTGGAGTCATGGTGAGTGGACCTTACGCAAATTTTCTAGCTGCCGAAGTCTTAGGTACACATAGGATAGCGGAGGGGGGGGGGATAAAATAACGGGGGGCATTCATTATTATGAAATTTGCAATTACTTTGGGATTTTGCGAGTGCCATTCGATAGAGCGTCGAAAAATATACTAAGAAAATTAATTTCAGCCCAAAATCATGTAATAGAAATTTTTTATTGAATAAACAAAAATTGAGGAAAATCTATGGGCAGCACATAGGATAACGGGGGGAGTTGTCTAGCTGCCGAAGCCTTAAGTTTTTCATAGTATCTCCCGCCAGTCTGCCCGGCCTATCGCATATTCCAAAAAGCCTGAGCCGGCATGCTGGCACTAAACCTAACCTAACCTTAACACCGCCAAAAATCTGACTACTCTGTCCCCCTCAGAAAACCCTCAAAAAACCTTTGCTAGTTTTCTTTGTCTCTTAAAGTCCCCAAGTTTTTTAGAGTATCGCTGCTGGTCTGCCTGTACCCTATTAGTCCTGAAAAGATTCTCTGCTAGCTTGCCGCAGCCTGAATTGCCTCAGACACCTTAGCGAGGTTCATGCATCGCCATGTTTCTTAAAGCATGACTGCTAACTTGTCTCTGCCCTAGCATTTCCAGAAGGCTCTCTGCTAGCCTGCCGGTGACAATCGCGGTTTAAATCAGATTTCTGCCGGCCTGCCCCCTTCAAATTCCGCTAAGAATCTCCACTATGTAAGAAGGGAGAGACATGCAGGGCAAATAGCAAATAGAGCCGAAAAAGTATCGAAAAGTGTGATGAAGCCCTACGCTAGAGTACGAACGACTACCCAGCCCTCCTTTGTATGTCACGAAGGTGCACTACGTAGCCCTTGGTAGACTAGGGACACGGAATGTTTCAGGTGTCCCCGGCGTCGTCTACCTGGCCCTAAACCGTTCGATAAAGCAACAAGTGGCCGGCTGGTTTGGCTTGCATTTGGTTGGTGATTTCTGGTGATTACTGATTGAAAGTCTTCTTGTTGTTTTTGCGAAAATAATTTTGCGGTTTTTAGGGAAATCGAACCTACTCTCTCAACACCACCGACCACGACCGCACCGAAACCAGCCAACAAAAGCAGTGAAATCAAATTTTGAAATCGACCATAAAACTGTTTACTCACTTGTACACAACAATCCGTGATTTGCATAGCCCAAAACAAAAATTTGCATCCAATTTCCGGGCAAAATGGGTATCCACACAATTGTCATCTCGGGGCAGCTCGTCATCGCTCTCGCCGTGCCCCCTCTACCATCACCAGAGATGGCGGCGCAATCTGCCGAGAAAAAAACCTCGAAGTAAGACCTTTTTTTGTCACCGACCTAATTTGGATAATGTGACAATGAACCGAAACTGAACCCTTACCCAATGTCGTGATATTTCTTTTTGTTAGGCCTGATCCACCCAAGCCCAAGAGACCCAAGAAACGCAAGCAACCCAGCAGCGGTCAAATTGCCGAGGAGTTTATCATAAGCACGCTAGAGAAAGGCATCGAGGTCGGTGAGCAATTGTTCTTCCGAAGCTGTAGACACATTTTAGGGCTTGAGAAGAGAATTCAACCGGAACCCTCGCATCTACGATACGGCCAAGTGCACGGTGAGCTGCCGCAATCCGACGTTGAACAGATACAAGGTGAGGGAAAGAGAGAGCGAAAGAGAGTGTGATAGAGAGAAAGAGAGCGAGAGCGCCAGACAGCGAGAGAGAGAGAGAGAGAGAGAGAGAGAGAGAGAGAGATAACGGCTAAAGTCTAGTTTACCCCCCGGCCAGAACTTTTCACCCCTAGGTCCTATTAATGTGCGGATTATCTCAAAATGTTCGCCATGGTCGAATCTCTGAGTCCAAGTTGTTTCCTAACGTCAAAAATTGTCAGAAATTTTTTTATAACAATTATGAGTCTGAGTTTTCTTTAATTAATTTTTCCTGGTCCAAAGTGAGTTTTCGTAGCTCGACTATATTTAGTAGTACGGAGCTGTCAATGGTACCAAAATGTAGCTCTTGCGCCGTAGAATAAGGCTACAGTACATTTGAATTGAAAAAATCGCGAAAAAAGAAAAGAATTGAGTTTTAAACGCCTAGTAGATTGTGGCATGGCGACTTAATATTTTCACATTTCAAAATCTTGTAAAAAATTTCTAACAATTTTTGTATGTAACAATTCTAAAAAAATGTATGTAAACGATTGATCTATAGTAATTCGACAACGGCGAACATTTTGAGATACTTGACGCATTAATAGGACGTAAGGCTGAAAAGTTAGGGCTGGGGGGAGGGGGTAAACTAGACTCTTACCGAGATAAGGTGAGGTACAAGGTGAGGGAAAGAGAGAGAGAGAGAGAGAGAGAGAGAGAGAGAGAGAGAGAGAGGGAGAGAGAGAGGAGGGGAGGCAGCGATATAGAGAGTGAGAGAGAGAGATAGCTGACCCGCCCTTCAGGATATCGGTTGCCACGATCACAACCGCGTGCACGTTGTCGGCGCCAACCCCGACGAGTACATCCACGCAAACTACGTGGGCATCGAGAAGAACCCGAAGTGCTTTATCTGCACCCAAGGGCCGATGGAGGCGACGTGCGCCGACTTCTGGATGATGGTTATCCAGCAGAAAGCCTGGGTATGCGTGGTCTTAAGGGACTGGTGGACATAATTATAGCCTCAGTTAAAATTTTTCGAAAATCTCGATTTCTGGCGGTGTCCATTGAAAGCGTTCTATAAGGGAAAGTAGCGGTATTCTATCACGATTTCATACCACAAACCTTTTTTGTGATTCTCTGGACACAAATTTTTTTAGGAATATTTTCCCAAAAAAGGCACTTTGAAAAAGGGACATAATTATAGCCTCACTTGGGTAACATTTTAATAAAAAATTAAATACTCGCACAAATCAATAAGAAACAATTCCAATAATGTTTGGCTACACCATTTCATGTAATTTGATGGGGGGAGATGCCTCTCCAAGCCAGAATACAGGCGGGCGATCGGCTTTTTGCTTGCCCAGCTGCGAGGTGGAGACAATCCTCTGTTTCGACGCAAGACTCTTTTCTTCTGCTTAGATTTTGAATACCGGGGAGCTTTGAACATGGCCAATCATGTTACAGTCAATAAAATTACTCGGCGACGCTAAAAAACCCACTTTTAAGGGATTGGTCCGACTCTGGGGCCCATTTGGCTCGAAGAATTAAGGCTTCATCTTACCCTTAAATCGGATTCTGATCCGGATTTCGATTGGAAATGTGCTGAATTCCGCAGCGCAACGAGTCGCGCCCAAGCGGATGAACGCCACTGCGAAAATCGTGTTGAGTTCGCCCGTCACAGAAGATGACGGTTTTGAGGAAGATACGGTAGGCTTCGGGCCCCCCAAAATTCTTCAGATCATTGTTTCCAATGGTTAGAGGCTCTCGCGTAGCCATCCATAAAGGTTTCGCTTTGTATTGCACAGAAAAAAAAACTGATTTGGCTGAAAAAAATTTCAAAGTGTTGCTGTGCCCGTTTGGAAGATCAGTTCTTCACGAGCAGGAAGGAAATGATGCTTGATCTTGACTTAAAGGAACATGTCAATAATTTCCAATTGCTCAACTCAAGAAACAGCACATTTCCAATCGAAATCAGGATCAGAATCCGATTTAAGGGTAAGATGAAGCCTTAATTCTTCGAGCCAAATGGGCCCCAGAGTCGGACCAATCCCTTAAAAGTGGGTTTTTTAGCGTCGCCGAGTAATTTTATTGACTGTAACATGATTGGCCATGTTCAAAGCTCCCCGGTATTCAAAATCTAAGCAGAAGAAAAGAGTCTTGCGTCGTAACAGAGGATTGTCTCCACCTCGCATCTGGGCAAGCAAAAAGCCGATCGCCCGCCTGTATTCTGGCTTGGAGAGGCATCTCCCCCCATCAAATTACATGAAATGGTGTAGCCAAACATTATTGGAATTGTTTCTTATTGATTTGTGCGAGTATTTAATTTTTTATTAAAATGTTACCCAAGTGAGGCTATAATTATGTCCCTTTTTCAAAGTGCCTTTTTTGGGAAAATATTCCTAAAAAAATTTTTGTCCAGAGAATCACAAAAAGGATTTGTGGTATGAAATCGTGATAGAATACCGCTACTTTCCCTTATAGAACGCTTTCAATGGACACCGCCAGAAATCGAGATTTTCGAAAAATTTTCACTGAGGCTATAATTATGTCCACCAGTTAGAAGGCGCAAGCTGTTTTGCCTTCAAGACGTTTTTGAGTGTCACCGGGACCTTGTGATGGGACCCAACCTAGCTTGTGCAGAATTTGGCGCTGACTCCGAATATGGCTGCCGTTTTTTCAAATAGCCCGATTTACAAAGTTCTAGCTATCCAGATCATATTTGGGTCCGCAGCAGGAAGTCATCCGCCACGATGCCCAACTTTTTTTGTTTTAGTATTCCAATCTATTTTAAAGAGATAAGTTAAAATAGAATTTTGTAGAGACTTTTTTTCTGATTCAAATTATGTACTTGATTAGCTCACTACTTCCTATTGGAGATCACTTACGGGGGTGTGAAGTCGGCTGTTTGTTTCCATTTTAGAAACAAAAATCCATTTTCAAAGTTTTTCAGTTAAATAGCTCATTACATAGAGAAAAATTTTTTAAGAAGTTGGCCATATTCGTCTAATGAAAATCTGCCGGGAATCGCGAAATAAATGGCCTTAAGGATAGCAAATTCGCAAAAACGTCACTTTCAAATGAGATAAACTTCTATGACAACTATTTGGCAAAAATTGGAAGAAAGAGGATTCGGAATCAGCAAAAATTTCTGCACAAAATAAACTCAGCCCCATGCCAAAACGCCACCTTAACCTTACCTGGTTCCCTTTGTGAGCCCAATGGCCTGCTTGCCCTGGCCCTCCGGCTGTGGGGGGGGATGACGTAAACTCTTACCAAAACACTTTAAATTTAATTCCTAGGCCCACCGGGAAAGGAAAAAAGTTGGCTTCCTCTTGGGGATTACTTCTCTTCCCCCGCGAATCCTAAAGAACCAAATTTACAAAATTACGAAGGTGTAAAACCGGTGTGTAATTATTCCGCGCAGTCGATCCTGATGTTGGGCGAGTTCGAGGAGCAGAACAGGCCAAGGTGCGCCAAATACTATCCAGACAAGCTGGGGCAACAACTGACCTTCCAAACACGTGATCGGGGCCCGATCGTCGTCACGAATTCAGGAGAGGAGGAGGACATGGGCGGTCGCCGTTCAACAGACGAAATGGTACACATAGGATAACGGGGGGCATAACGGGGGCACTCAAAATTTTTCTGTGATAAAAGTATTTTTAAATATGCTTTTTTCGGGCTGCAAAAAACTCTTAGTATATTTTTCGTTCCTCTATCGACTGGCATTTTCAAAATCTCGAAAATATTCAAAACGCCGAAAATCCCCCCCCGTTATCCTATGTGCTGCCCATAGTTTTCAAAAATAGTTTTTAGGCTATAAAACCTTTATAATACATTTTTTCGCGTTGTAAAAAAATCTCTTAGTATATTTTTTGATGTTCTATCGATTCGCGTTTTCAAAACATCGAAAATCTCAAAAATTTGGCTTCCCCCCGTTATCCTATGTGCTGCCCATAGATTTTCCTCAATTTTTGTTTATTCAATAAAAAATTTCCATTACATTATTTTGGGCTCAAATTAATTCTCTTAGTATATTTTTCGACGCTCTATCGAATGGCACTCGCAAAATCCCTCAGTAATTGCAAATTTCATAACAGTGAGTGCCCCACCCCGTTATTTTATCCCCCCCCGTTATCCTATGTTTACCGGCGAAACCCTTAACTTTAGGTCCTTTTCATCCGGCCGGGCCATGCGGCACAGGTTCATATTCGCCATATGACGGTGCGTGGGCTCGACTCCGAGTACGAGGTCACGCACTACCATGTTGGTGGAGGAAGGGGCGCGGGGGTACTCCTAACTAGGGTGCACGAGCTGACCGTCCGATTTCGACACGGGAAATAGTGGATCTGATAGAATCGAACACGGGAATTCCGAATCTGTAATCAGAATCTGCTAAATAAAAGATTCCTAGTCACCTGATCGAAAAATCGCCTGTTCGGAAATCTCCTGATCTAAAATTGTCTGATCGAAAAATTGTCTGATCGAAAAACATCTGATCGATAATCGTCTAATCGAAAATTTTCTAATCGATAATACCTCAAAAAGTAGTTCGAAGATGTTAGAAGCCTAGAAAAACCCTAAATTTTTTTGAGTTATTTTCGATCAGACGATTTTCGATCAGGCGATTTTTCGATCAGACGATTTTCGATCAGGCGGCTGCCAACCCGTTAAAAATAAAACCGAGAAAAAAGTTCCTACCCTTGCCTGTGAATCCAAAAAAAATTTTTAATTTTTAACGGTCCTTTTTAACAATAAGTTTAAGATTAATAATTTTTAATTAATAAGAATAGTTTAATAAGTTTTAAGTGTACACTGTAAAAAAATTGGTTAGTCTAGTCTGAGACATCCTTGGTGTAAATTTGTCGCCGATAACACAGCGAAATGCCGGATGGTTCGTTTTCTTGCGATACATCTGTTCCTGTAAAATAAACAAGCCGCTCGATTCCGGTGGGTCAACTGGCCAGACCGTGGCGCTCCACCGCCCAACCAAGACCCGTTCAACCTGCTCTACGATATGTGTTGTGGCAGGTCAGTATTCTGAAAAAACTCATGCCCGTTTTCAGCCGGGATTAGAGTTGTCATAACTCGAACAACCAATGGCTAAATTTGAGCATACAGCTACCTAGCCATAGTAAATAAAATTATACGTAATGTATTTTCTGCCGAATGGGCTATAATCTCAATCTCAAGATCTATCTGCGTAATCTCAAGGAGGGCAGTCCTTAGGGGTATGTTTGATACGTCATTAGGTGCGTAATGGTCTGGAGATGACTGCAGTCCTATGAAATCCTTCAAATTCATCTATTTCCGACACTACGTTTAATTTTTCGTTGAAATATCGGAGACCTCTTTGTCAGGGATGCGGCATTTGGCATATGCCGGAAGTGGTGTTAGCCTATTTAAAGGGCACGTTCAGGGACGTTTTTTTGGAAAAAAGCAAAGATTTTCGCCGCGGCCGGGGGTCGAACCCGGGCCTCGCGCTCGGGAGCCGCGGATGCATACCATATAGCCACAGTTGCAACCTGGAGAGGGGCGAGGGGCGTCCCACGCCGCAAAGGAGGGGAATGGCCTGTCACAGCACGGGCAGGCAGTGCGCGCGGCCCCTACGTCCATAGGGTGTACACGTTGGGACGAGTACACGGTCCCTCCTGAACGTGCGCTTTAAAGGTACATTCCGCTCTCGTTCTGATTCACTATTCAGTGGCGAGAATTTGCCACTTGAGCGGTCGGGCACACAGACCCGACATATCCACTCGCCCCTCCCCTCCCCGTCTCTCTCATGGCCGAGTGGTCTATGGCGGTTGCCCCAAGGCGAGTGGTGCGGGTTCGGGTTTGCCGGAGGTCGAGCACCTACCGTAACCGCTTGCTAACGGTTTGACCATTTCAACGCCTTGAAAACGACCGCGGAATGTCCCTTTAAAGGGAGAGAAGCAGCCATTTTCATTTTTTTGCACTTTAGAAGTTTATGCAAATTTAGAATGACGGGGGGGGGGGGGTAAGACAAGGACCGGGTTAGGCCAGGCTAGGGTAAGGAAGCCGCTTCCCAACCCCGATTTTATTCAGATATTCTTAGCGATTCTTCGCCGATCGTCCTCCACTGCTCGGCGGGCGTTGGGCGCGCGGGTGCGCTCGTGCTGATGAGAGCCGTCCTGGAGAAGGTGAAGCGTCGCCAAGCTTTCAACGTCGAGGAGATTCTTAAGGAGCTGAGGCAATGCCGCGCGGGACTAGTCCAGGTCAGCAAGAGCTTCACCCTCGGCCGTTAGGATCGGTTTTAGGGCCCAACTGTTTTTCGGGGCAACCCTCAAAACCGGGCTATAACTATACGGTATAAAGTATAAGTATAATTGGTATAAAAATATCGCCTATGAGTCGATTGTTGTTATTTAATGGCTAGATACACCGCCGGCACAATTTTGGGCCCCACAAAAAAACACCCCCTCTAACCCGACGCAGAAGTATCAGATCGGAATGATAGTTACACCATTCGAAAGTCCTTGACACGGCGAGTTTGCGACAATTGTAAAAACCATCCTTTTATGAAATGCGCTATTTTACATAACATTTTATGGAATTTTCCGGTTCTTCGGGGTTGCATCCGAGCTAATTTCCCTCAATTTCTCCATACAAAATGGCCGGAAGTAGCCGTTAATTAGACGCAGAGGCCGTTCCTTAATGTTTTTAAATAAATGCATTGTAAAATGGCGCATTTAAATAAAAACATGGTTTTAAGGATTATTGCAAACTCGCCGTTTCAAGGGCTTTCGAATGGTGTAACTATCATTCCGCCACGAACCTTCTGCGTCGAGTTAGAGGGGATGTTTTTGGTATGTGTGTGCCAATTTGCATCCACTTCCCGGAACGTTATTCCAGTTTCTCTTATTTAAGCACCCCCTGTATCCTCATCTCTGTATAAACCCGATTTCCCCATGTACTAATCGTTTTGCAGACACCGCACCAGTACTACTACGTGCACGCAGCGCTTCTCAAATTCTTGTCTGATACCATCTGCAAGCGGGACAGAATGATAAAATTGCGCCCGAAAGCCATGCCGTTCTGGGCCGATTACAAGAAGGAGATCGACAAGGTCAACGACGCCAACAACAAATCCACGATGTCGTACCTGCCGAGCCTCGAAAAGGAGAAACAGATCTAATGCTACTATTATCGCTTCCGATGTGAATTCCAATGTGTTTCGAAATAAATTAATTCACGCCTTGGGATTCCATTTAACACGAGGCACCAACTACGCTATTCCAAAGCCATGAAACAAAAATCACAACTGCCAACAAAAAAATTTGTATAAGCCTAGAAATGACGAGTAATATAATAGGACGCAATGTTAAAATCACTTCCTACTGCTTTAACTCCTACTTTAACTTAAAAACCGTGTTTCAGTAAAACAAAAATATATTTCGTCCGGAAAACTATCTAAAAACTTGCAAAAAATGTTAAGAGTCGTCATTTTGGGTAAAAACGGCGATTTTTTGCAGAAAAATTGATATTTTTGTGTTTGACTTGCACAGTTTCTACGCCTAGAAAAATCGGACCTTACGAAAAGATTTCGGTTCGCCCTCCGATAATGGGGAAGAAAGGATAACTGATTGCGAGAAGTGTAGAATTCTACAAGAAAGGCTTTTGTGTTGTGACCAGGGTTGAAAACCTTGTCGCGGCTTCTCAACCTTTGCCCCGTCTAGGACCAATAAAAGTCTTCAGTTTGCATGCTTCTTCTCCGAAATCCATCAGGAAAAGAGTGAAAAACGGATCCCCTGTCGCTTTATATAGACCATCCCACTACCGGCTTATGCTAATTGATCACTAACAATGGGGGAGGACGAAAATTTAACAAAACCCTATTTTTAAGAACGTAAATCACAACTTTCAAAAATTTTATGTGTGTGCAGTCGATTCCGGACCCTTTTTTTGGCGCAATGAGTTTTCTTCCTAATCGAAAAATTGCGTCCCTGAGGGCCGCATGATCAACCCAAGCAGCGTAACGCCAAAATTTACATGAACGAATAACAATTTTGCATAAGATCGGCGCCGAATGGCACCAGTTAATTGCTGTGGCGTCCTTCCGGTTCCCCGTCCTCTCCACTTCCACAGATGCCGCGAAAACGTCCGCTGTAAGACGTTACTCGTTTTCGGAATTTTTCATGCAAAATTCCACGCTTTTATTGTCAAAAACCAACCTTAACCGATTCAAGCGCTACCGAAGTTGTCGTTTTGGAAGCGGCTTTTAAAAAGCCGTCGTTGAGCTACCGGGAAAGGTGTAAAAATGGGAAATCCCGAAATCCCGAATCCCGAATCCCGAAAAAATCCCAAAAACTAACGAAAATATCGAAAACTTTGGGACCCTCGGGCTGGGGGGGTAAAGTAAACCGTAGCCTAAAAATGTGGGATTGCGAATCAACTGCTACCCCGCGTCGAGACAGCCCTTTCTTCTAGGGATGACCTCAGCGGCCCCGGACCGCGGCGCAGACGCGAGCAGGCACGAAAAGCAAAGATGTGCAAGGCTGCAGGGATGTTTATCAGAAGCACGCTCGAAAAAGGCATCGAGGTCGGTCAGCAATTGTTCTTCCCAAGCTGTAGCCATATTTTAGGGCTTGAGAGAAGAATTCAACCGGAACCCTCGCATTTACGATACGGCCAAGTGCACGGTGAGCGGCCGCAATCCGACGTTGAACAGATACAAGGTGAGGGAAAGAGAGAGAGCTAGAGAGAGAGAGAGAGAGAGCGAGAGAGATAACTGACCCGCTCTTCAGGATATCGGTTGCCACGATCACAACCGCGTGCACGTTGTCGGCGCCAACCCCGACGAGTACATCCACGCGAACTACGTGGGCACCGAGAAGAACCCGAAGCGCTTCATCTGCACTCAGGGGCCGATGGAGACGACGAGCGCCGACTTCTGGATGATGGTCATCCAGCAGAATGTTGAGGTATGCATGATCCGGTATTGTACTGTTAACGGCTCAAGGGGAAAGGGTGTGGTTTTTGGCCGAGGGCAAATTTAACTTTGGTCTTCTTTACCTATAAGCAAAGGAAAATCTACTTTTCGCTATTAACAGGTGGGTTATGATGAGTTTACCCCCGCTCTAGCCGGCGCCCAACTTTTGTATCTCGGCTCCCTGTTCATCTACAGTTGTGGAAAGTATACCTAAATGTTCCACTTGCTCTGGCGTGCATCTTCGTATATTTTACAGATCTGTAGGATAACGGGGAGCCAAGACACTGTAGGTGGGGGCCGGCTGGGGGGGGGAAACTTCACTTAAGCGAAACGTTCAATCAATACCTGTTAATAGTGTAAAGGGATTTGTGTAGTTGCATACTTTTTTGCAGGGGTCCATGTTGGCCTAAATCAAATATAAGATATTTTTTATGCTGCCTTTTGTAACGTTGAACTAAAGTAGAAATAGAAAAACTGTCGAAAACAGTTCGCAAAAGGTTTCAAAAAGTCGACATTTTAGTCATTTTGCGTAGAAAAATTCAATAGTATTAATTAAAAAACGTTACGAAGGTTTGGAGCCGGTGTGTTAATTTTTCGTGCAGTCGATCCTGATGCTGTGCGAGTTCGAGGAGCAGAACAGGCCAAGGTGCGCCAAGTACTACCCGGACCAGAAGGAACAACATATGTCCTTCCGAACAAGTGATCAGGCCCTGATTGGCGTCGGCGTCGTGAATTCAGAAGGTCCAGCTTTGCAGGAGGTCAGCAGCCACCTCTACTTCCGATTTACCTTAATTTCAGTTCTCATGCACAAGTGGGGAGCCGGAAGTAGTGGTTCATGTCCGCAAGTTGAAGGTGTACGACGCCAACTCCCAGTTGGACGTCGAACACTACCATGTCGGTGGGAGGGGTCCGAAGTGGTACTGGGCTGTTAGCGGGGGGCGGTGTAGCAGCGGGAGACTAAGTACTATAGACTGAGAACAGAACAGACAGACTAATAAGACTTATTAAGCATTGTAGCACATGCTTGATTATCCCTTTATCAATAATTCTAAGATCTCGAAGTGGGGCACAATTTGGTGGACACCCTGTAGTGACGAAGCCGGACGACTCAACATAACCAAGTCGGTTCCAGTGGCGCTTCTGGCCGGACCGCGGCGCTCCTTCTCTCATCTCCCGCTTCCCGATTGAACTTCTCGACAAGATGTCTAAACAAGCGTCCGTACTTTGATCAGGAGCGCTTGATTCTAGTGATCCGGGAAACGGTTCGAGACATTGCTCTGCCATAGCCAATTTTTTCATCCATTTGCGCTTGTTAATTTTCGAATCGAGCCAGGGCTGAAAGCCGCTTTGGGACTTTTCGGTTAAAGTTCCGTTACCCACCCCGGCCAGCACCCAACTTTTGTATCTCGGCTCCCTGTTCATATACACTTAAAAGTACACCAAAATGTTCGCCCTGATCTGGAGAGAATCTTGGTATACTTTACAAGCCGCCACAATAACGGGTTGTCGAGATACAGTAGGTGGGGGTCGGTTGGAGGGGCGGGGTAAACTGAATCAAAGCCCGACTTTTCAATAATGGCCCTTTTAGAGCCATTATATCCTTCACTCTGCAAAATTTTCTTGGTTCTGATGCTAGAACACTCCCTCCCTGGATAATATGATCTGGGATCTGGGATCTGGGATGGTCATCCTACTATATATAAAAAAATAGCGTCTGTGTGCGTGCATATTTGCATGCAACTTCCGTAAGTATGTACCGCACCTACACCTACAGCCTCAGGGGAAGGTTTTTAAGGTACGTATGATACGTCATTAGGTGCCTAATGGTCCCGAGATGGGTGCACACATATAAAATTGAAGAAAATCGGCTGTTTTCGCTATTAAAATTAGGTTTTTGTAAAGATATCGAAAAACCTCTTTGTTAGGAGGCAATTAGCATGCACCGGAAGTGGCCGTAGCCTATAAAAATGGAGGGAGCGTGCGCTTTTCATTTTTTGGTGAGCGGCATTCGGAAAGCCCTATGTAAAGTCAAATTTTCAGAAGTCCTAGGCGGGTCCAGGGTTGAAAAGCAGCGAAGCGGTTTTTCAACCCTGGTTTGATTGAAAAATTAACATGTGCATTTTGTTGAGAAACTGATACGCATAGGATAAGGCAGGGGGAATAACGGGAAGATCTAAAGTTTCTATAATAAAAATATTTTTAAATATGATGTTTTGGGGGCGCTCTATCGAAGGGCATTCACAAAATATCGAAAATGTTCAAAACGCCGAAAATATCGCCCCGTTATCCTATCTGCTGCCCATAGTTTCAACGAAGTTTTTAGGCTATAAAACTTTTATACTACATTTCTTTCGCGTATTTTCGATAATTTTGAATGGCGCTTGCCAAATCCCACAGTAAATGCAATTTTTATAATAATGAGTGCCCCCCCCCGTTATTCCCCCCCCCCCGTTTTCCGATGTTTATCGAGAAATGCGCTATCGAATGCGCCATGTTTCGAACAGCTTCTCGGATGACTCGAAAAAACCTCGACTCTCGTTTTGAGTCCGGAGACGAACCCAAACCGCTCGATTCAGAGATTGGCATACGCCTCCGATCGTTGTCCACTGCTCGGCTGGCGTTGGGCGCATCGGTCCGCTCGTGCTGATGCAAGGCATTCTCGAGCTGGTTAGGCTCGGCAAGGATTTCAAGGTCGAGGACCTGCTAAAGAAGATGAGGCAGAGTCGCGCGGGCCTGGTCCAGGTACGCAGTGGCTTCCGGCAAAGAAATACCGAATTTTTGGGTTCTGGACTGGCTTTGGGTTTTGGAGTTAGCCCGGGGGAAACCAAATGTTTCCCTGGGATTTTCTACGGCCCTCGAACAAAATATAAACCATTTTTATTCCATTTTGTCAAGTGTTTAGATGTGAAGACAATATAACAAACAGTAAAATTTTCGAACTTTCAAAACTACTCGGTCTCGGTCGAATTTAAGCAAGGTTTCGACATTTTTACAAAATTTCTTGAGTGCCATTCGATAGAGCGTCGAAAAATATTCAAAGAGGTTGGTTTGTAGTAAAAAGAAACGCAAAAAAAATAGTTAGGTCGGCCCCGACAGTCCGTCCCCCCCGCGTAGCCGACATATACCCGGATCGGAATGTTAGTTATGCCATTCGAAAGTCCTTGAAACGGCGGGGTTGCAACAGTCTTTAAAGCCATCTTTCGATTTAAGCTCGTTAGTTTACAGGCCATTTTGTGAAATTTTCCGGTTCTTCGCGGTCGAATACGAGCTAATTTGCCTTTACTTGCCTGAATTTCTCCATGCAAAACGAGAGGAAGTATCATTTAATTAGACACAGGGGCCGTTCCTTAAGGTTTATAAATTCGTTGAAAAATTGTGTCTTTAAATAAAAACACGGTTTGAAAATTATTGCAAACTCGTCATTTCAAAGGCCTTCGAATGGTGTAACTATCGTTCCGATCCACTACGTCTGCGTCGAGTTAGAGGGGTGTATTTTTGATTGGGACGCCCTGTAGAAGAGCCCTGGTCTTCATGGGTCGTCCTGATCCCTTTAACCGTCTATTTACCCTTTTTACTTATTCGATATGAATTTGCCTTACCTCCATCAGGTGTGCTTCCTGGACGTCGACACCCTGTTTCAGACGGCGCACCAGTACTACTACGTCCACGCGGTGCTCTTGGCATATTTTATGGAGAAGAGGGAGCCCTACATCTGGAAATTCGAAGACCTTCGTCCGGATTTCAACAAGTTCATGGCGGACTACACGAAGGAGGTCGCCAAGGTCGACAACAACAAGTCCACGATGTCGTACCTGCCGAGCGTTGCCATGAAGAAAGCCACCTAATACTATCCTCGCTTGTATCTCCCTTACCTTAATGGGAATCTTATTGTGTTTCGAAATAAAATTAATTAACGCCTTGAGATCCCGCGGTGGCGGTTTATGAAAGAACAAGGAACACGAAATGCCATTCCAATGCTTTTGAACACAAAAACAAAACAGAACTGACAAGAAAAAAAGGTGTATAGGCCCAAAAATGCCTGACAATGACTAGGAAGTATTGAACATTGTTTTTAGTAAAATAAAACTATTGTTCAACCGGAAGAATTATCAAAAAGCTTCAAAAGGTTTTGAAAAAGTCGACATTTTGGTCAGAAAAGGTGGGTTTTGTCGGTAATTCAATGTAGAATACAATAATTTGCAATGTTTTTACGTTTAGAATCTGTAAGAAACAGTCACTAAAATCAGAAACAATGTTATATTTGAAGCTTTTGGATTGTAAGAAAAAATCTGGTTTCCCCTCCGATAATGCAAAAGAACTGATTGCGAGAAGTGTAGAATTCTGTGAAAAGGGTTTCAAATTTGTTCTGGGGCTTTGTAGGTTTGCTGGCAAAAGCGCCTACAAGCGTTTTCATGGTCAACCCAGGAACCAGAAACCCAAATTCCAGCCATAATCCCGACAGCCATAATATAGGCAGCCAAAATCCCGACAGATTATCTCTTCCCGGCAAATCGTCATTACCGTAGTTTGCCATACTGCAGTCGTTTTCCACATAAATCGTTTAAAATGGGGAGTTTCTAGCTGTCGGGATTATGGCCTGTCGGGATACTGGCCTGTCGGGACTTTGGCCTGTCCCGTTTTTGGCTGTCGGGATTGTGGCTGTCGGCAGCTTCCTTGCCGGGATAGAGGCTGTTAATATGTTGGCGTTTCCCCAGAAGGCCACAATTTACATATTTACATAAAATAATAACAATTTTGCATAAAACCTGCGCATAATGGCACGAATTAATTGTCAGCGTCGGCCACTCGCGCCGCTCGGCTCCGTCCTCTCCATCGCCCCAAATGCCGCGATCTATTTGCAAGAAGTAAGGCGTCGCTCTATCCCTTTTTCACACTACAAAATGGCACAATTTTGTAGTCCTTAGTTGTACGCGGGACGATTTTTTGAGCTCGTCAGGATTTGCGACGGTTAGAGGGCAGTTCCCCCCCCAGCCGGCACCCAACTTTTGTATCTCGGCCGCCTGTTCATCTACAGGTGTGTCAAGTATACCAAAATACCTGCCAGAGCAAGGCAACCATTTTGGTATATTTTACACACCTGTAGATAAACAGGGAGCCGAGATACGGTAGGTGCTATTCGGCTGGGGAGGGGGAAACTGCACTTAAAGGGGCTCCGAAATCTGGTCCACGGCCCCCTGCTGTGATTCCTGGCAAATAGCCAAATGCGACCGCGACGCGACCGCGACGCATGAACACCTGTCCTTGTTTGGTCGCGTAAACGCTTGAATTTAAAAATTCTGATGCGATTTTTGGAATCCTCAACGAATTTGGATCATTCCAGACGTTTAAAGGGCTGGAGAAAGATGGAATCGATGAAAGAGCAAAGAGGGTCGCACCGGACGGGGGTCGAACCAGTGATGGTCCGCCCCGCAGTCCGATGCGCTAGCCAGTACACCAGAGAATCGAGTGGAGAGGGGCGGCGGAGGGCCCGCACATACCCTAGGGCGCCTTGCCACCTGTACAAGAACTGCCATTTAGAAATAAAGCAATTTCATGGTGATAATAGCTAAGAAATGTTGTAGAAAACCTTGCTAAAGGACAGCAACGTACTTTGCAACTTTCTAGAGGTGTTTTGCTGTCTATACGCCTCTTTTTCAGCCAAAACAGTGTCCCAAAACCCCGAATCGCCCAGAACTTGGCCGCCTTCTTTCCAATCCAGCTCAAATTTTTACCATCGACGGGTATCACTCAGTCCTTCGTTTATGGAAATTTTTAGTTGAAAACATTGCTAAATGAAAAAGTTATAGCCAATAAACTGGTTTCTTCAAACGCGAGAGGGGGTTTTGGGGGCGCTTACGCGAGGGAAAGCGTCGATGGTAGCGCCGCGGCGGTCCGTCACCCCGACGGACGCCGGCCCATCTTTCTCCAGCCCTTTAAATTATGAAAATTGATCAGAGAATCGCCGAGATCGAGAGATTGGGCGTCTTACGAGGCATTACGACATGTAATCGCCGCCCACTCAAAAGGTCGTTTTCGCCCCAAAAAGAATTCAGTTTTTCTCAAATATTTTACGTTTTTTCGCAATGAAATCACTTTTCTGGCACACCTCGGCAGCGACCCTTTCGTTTTTTGACCAGTAGGTTCAATCCCCCCGCGTACGAATTTTGACTTCCGAGCCCCTTTAAAGACGGTCAGAGCGCTGGCGGGGAACGGCGCTTATCAGTTTGGTCAGATCGTTATCAGTGCACAGATAGGCGATAGGCGCGGCTCGTTGCCGTCTTTTCGTGTCCCCGCGGCGCAATATCCTCCCATTAGTGCGCACTTTTGGCAACGCGCGGTTCCAATTTGCGTTTGGTTCAGGTGTCCTTTTGGTTTGCCACCCTCGGGGTGACAGTGCGCGTTCCATCGTTCTGACAGTCTTTAAGCCAAATTTTGCTGAAAAAGATACGAGGGCTTGTTTTTGAAAAGTCGATCGGGAAATGCGAAATATTCGGATATGAAAGTCTTAAGCATTGCGCAAAAACGACTGAAAAGTGTTGGATCTTTTTACGGAAAGCAGTTCGGCCAGACATGATATTAAAGACTCATATTTATTTTTAATTCTCTATCGAATTGAGTATCATATGTAGCAACAAAAAACCCGCCCGAGGTAAAAACACCTTTCCTTGTCAGAAGGTCATGGAAGCGGGTACGAGAAGAGTGGAGTCGTCAGGATGCAGGGGTGTTTATCAGACGCACGCTCGACAAAGGCATCGAGGTCGGTCAGCAAATGTTCTTCCCAAGCTGTAGCCACATTTTAGGGCTTGAGAGAAGAATTCAACCGGAACCCTCGCATCTACGATACGGCCAAGTGCACGGTGAGTTGCCGCAACCCGGAGCTGAACAGATACAAGGTGAGGCAGAGACAGAGAGAGTGAGAGAGCGAGAGAGAGAGAGCGAGAGAGATAACTGACCCGCCCTTCAGGATATCTGTTGCCACGACCACAACCGCGTGCACGTTGTCGGCGCCAACCCCGACGAGTACATCCACGCGAACTACGTGGGCACCGAGTACAACCCGAAGCGCTTCATCTGCACCCAGGGGCCGATGGAGACGACGTGCGCCGACTTCTGGATGATGGTCATCCAGCAGAATGTCGAGGTATATCCGATCCGAGATTGTACCGCCACCGGGCGGCTGGTCGGGGGGGCAGAGTGGTGATCAGATTTTTTCTTATAGGATCAGCTGGCTTAGTAATCAACTATCCTGCCTTACATAATTTTGGCGTGTATCTTTGTGTGAGTGTGTGTGGATGTCAGTTTCGAGGCCCGATTTGAGGGCCTTCCCGTGTCCAAAACGTCCCAATTCTCCGTCACTAGGAGGAATCGACCTCCCTCTTTCCGATGGCGTTCTCAGAATTTCATTAAAATACGAGTTTACAAAGTTAAAGCCGGTTTTGTTCATTTCTGGATGTCCCTAAAGGCTAATGTGAAAAATAGAAATTTTCTCATTCTTGCAAGTTGTGCTCACGTGTGTGGTCGGTTAGGGGGGGGTCGGAAGGACCGAAGCTATCGGAAAGTCAATTTCTCATGCAAGGGCCACATTCCAGCGCCCAAGGCCCGCGAAGCGCGTTTTGGGCGCTGGTTTTTAATCAATCACCCCCGAAATCTCGGTTCCCGTACGGGCCTGCGTGCAGTCTACTCGGCTAGAGTTCAGTTTACCCCCAGCCGGCCCCAACGTTTTGTATCTCGGCTCCCTGTTCATCTACAGGCAGGTAAAATATACCAAAATGTTTGCCGTGCTCTGGCGCCTGTTTTGGTATAGTTTACAGACCCGTACAACAACGGGTTGTTAAGATACAGTAGGTGGGGGGCCGGCTGATGGGGGGGGTAAGCTGAACGGTATTTCTTCATCTTGCATAATTACCATTTCGCATAACGCTATTTCGCATAATGGCATTTAGCATAATTTTTATTCCGTATAACGGCGATTTCGCATAACGATGATTTCGCATAACGCTTATTTCGCCTAACGGCGATTTCGCATAACGGTCATTTCGCCGAACCATGATTTCGCATAACGATCATTTTGCATAATTTTCATTTCACCTAGCGATGATCTCGCATAACGTTTATTTCGCATATTTCACGGTATAAGACAATCGAAATGCCTAGCTACCATTTACGCGGATTCCGCATCTGTAATCAATGTAATGCTTTTGACCTAGTCTTGCGGTCAGATTTGCTAGTTTACACAGGGATACTATCTACAAGGTAGCATTTTTGGCAAAGCCCTTCAAAACAGACGTACACCCGATGGGTCATGGATTTTGAGCAAGCTTGGGATATCTGCAAGGAAGGGCGCAAAAAACCGCGCAGGTAGATTCTTTTTTATCGATTGCTGATTACTAAGCTAGAGTTATATATACAATCGGCTGCCAATGGCGGAAATTTTGCGAAATGGCTGTTAGGCGAAATCAAAATTATGCGAAATGATCGTTAGGTGAAATGAAAATTATGCGAAATGATCGTTATGCGAAATCATGGTTAGGCGAAATCACCTTTATGCGAAATAAGCGTTATACGAAACAAGCGTTATGCGAAATCAACGTTATGCGGAATAAAAATTATGCGAAATGCAATTATGCGAAATGGCGGTGTGCGAAATGAAAATTATGCGAAATGAATGGAAATCCGCTGAACGACAGCCGTCTTTAACCAAGCTACGAAATTTACGAAATTTCGACTTTGTGGTGTAATTTTTTGCCAAGAGGATCCTGATGCTGTGTGAGTTCGAAGAGCAGAACAGGCCAAGGTGCACCAAATACTACCCAGAGCAGCAGGGACAACAAATGACCTTCCAAACAAGTGATCGGGGCCCGATCGTCATTACGAATTCCGAGGGTCCAATCAACTATAATAATTTTCTTGACGCGTCCGTCTGTCCGTCTGTGTGAAGCCGAATTCAACTCGAAGGGGAAAAGAGCTAGAGCTTAGCTCTCTTCGGATTCGGATAGAGCGTGGTCAGAAACCCCCAAACTGATAAAAAAATTACGAAAAAGTTTTAGTTTAAATTATTAAAATTAACTTTGAAAGTTTTTTCCTTAGTAAAAGGGGTGGGGGACGGAGGTTGGGCGATTTTGGACATAGTGAGCCAGGTCGCGCGCGTTTCGTGGATGAAAATTTTCACGGGGGATTTCATTTCTTTTTTGCTCTCATTCCATCCGGTCGGTCGTTATTTTCGTTTTTTAAAAGGATTTCGGCTAGGGGAGGTATTTAAAACCATCAGGAAGGTATTTAGGTAGTTTTTGAAGGGGATTTCAGCCATGGGGGGTATCTGAAGCCATCAGGAAGGTATCTAGGTAGTTTTTGAAGGGGATTTCAGCCATGGGGGGTATCTAAAGCCACCAGGGAGGTATCTAGGTAGTTTTTGAAGGGGATTTCAGCCATGGGGGGTATCTAAAGCCATCAGGGAAGTATCTAGGTAGTTTTTGAAGGGGATTTCAGCCATGGGGGGTATCTAAAGCCATCAGGGAAGTATCTAGGTAGTTTTTGAAGGGGATTTCAGCCATGGGGGGTATCTAAAGCCACCAGGGAGGTATCTAGGTAGTTTTTGAAGGGGATTTCAGCCATGGAGGGTATCTAAAGCCACCAGGGAGGTATCTAGGTAGTTTTTGAAGGGGATTTCAGCCATGGGGGGTAGCCCGAAGGCCAGATGGTTACAGTCGCGAAGCGACTGGAACCATCTGGTTGTGAAAGAAGTGAGCAGCCACCTTTACCTCCATTTCACCTGAATCTCAGATAAAATACACGAGTACAAGCAGCCCAGACGCGGTGGTTGATATCCGCACGTTGAAGGTGAACGGCCTGAACTCCGAGATCGTCGTCAAACACTACCATGTTGGTGGGAGGGGGTCTGAATTTTTGCAAAATCATGCTCAGGGTTCGGAACTCTTTGTGCCTGATTGTTTCGCTTTTTGGTTTTTTAATGCTATTCAAAGCAAAATTGGCATTACAGAGCAAAAAGCAAAAGAATTTCACTAGCTGGGAGTCGAACCCGCCGGCAAAAAAAGATAAAACTTATGAAGCAAGTGCACTACCAATATGCCACGTGGTCAAGCCTGGACATTAGCTGGAAGGGGGATATGTTCATGCGCACCTAGAGTGCAAACACTGCGGATCGGGCGAGAAATGATGGTTCGATTAATCATTTTCAAATTAATTTTTTATCGAATATCGGACACGGTTAGCAGGTTTAGAAACGGCTTCTTGCTCCGAATTTTTTTCTCTATCGAACCAGCTAGGTCACGCTCAAAAACTCCAATATCACCTAAGAACGACCCCTTGTCAGTGAGGAAGCGAACGAGTCAACATAAAGAACTCGCTTGCAGTGGCGCTTCTGGCCGGACCGTGGCGCTCCTCCTCCCTTCCCACTTGTGATTCGTATGCTTGAGAAGCAGTATTCGAAACAGTCCGTTTTTTGATAGGGAGTGCTTTTGTTCGGATCATCCGGGAAACGTTCGAGCAGGGTGCCCCAAAAAAAGCCTCCCTGCGGTATTTCGCCGTATTTCATCCAAACGATCCCAAAAGTGGAACAGAGGCGTATCAGACCCTAAATAACCACAATCCTGAATCCCGATCGCTACCGTGGTTCTCGATTTATAGCCAAAATACTATTTTCTATGCAATTTTTAACAGGTTTTACGGCTCTTTTTGGAATTACACCGATTTGCATCGAGCTCCGGCTAGGAGTCATCGCTATCTCCCCCAAGTCCCGGGTTTATTTTTGCTTGTAAAGACTTTGAAATCAGGGAATTGATTCAATTTTGTCAGGAAAAATTTCTAGGGATCAAGAAGGCTTGCCGAAGCATTTTCCCTTGCAATTCTAAGGGTCGACTCCGACGAAAACCCTATGAAAAACGCATTATAGAGTGCATTTTTGTTGTAGCTCGAAAATCATTGGAGCTGGCGGTTTATAACTTAAGATTGTGATTATTTAGGGTCTGGCACACCTCTGGTCCAATCTTGGTACCGATCAGATGTAATACGGCGAAATACCCGAGGGGTGCTTTTTTGGGCCACGCTGTATAGTAAAAGCTGGGATTGTCGTTTGATTGAAACATTAACAAGGGCAGCTTGTTGAGAAATTCTCTATCTAATGAGCTATGCTTCCGGCAGCTTCTCGGATGACTCGAAAAAGCTTCGTCCGTATGAGTCCGGCGGCGTAACCCCAACGGCTCTATTCAGAAACCCGATCGTTGTCCACTGCTCGGCTGGCGTTGGGCGCATCGGTCCGCTCGTGCTGATGCAAGGCATTCTCGAACTGATCAAGCGCGGCAAGGATTTCAAGGTCGAGGACCTGCTAAAGGAGATGAGGCAGAGTCGCGCGGGCCTGGTCCAGGTACGAAGTTATTCTGGCAATTACAGGGTGCTATCTGGCAAGAAAGCGCCGAATCGTCAGGGGGAACCGAACTTTTTTAAAGTCTGTCGCACAAAAAATGGTACAATTCAAATAGGCGGGGGGGGGGAAAGATTTAGGCGGGGGGAAACCGAACTTTTTTCCGCCCAATCCTATATTTTTTATATAAATAGTGGAAGTGTTTCTAAATTGTTTATAGCTATTCCTAAACATAAAAACTTTACAAAACTTAATTAAAAAATTTAATTTTAGGTCGAAAAATCAATTTTTTTGGCCCGAAAATGACCAAATTTTCAACTTTTTTCAAGCGTTTTTCTAACTTTTAAAAAGTTTTTCCGATTCAGATAGGCTTAAATTTTGCTAAAAACAATGTGAAAACACTTTATATTTGATTACTATCCCCACCAGGGCCGACAAAAAAAAAGTTGGTTTCCCCCCGCCTAAATCTTTCCCCCCGCCTATTTGAATTGTACCCAGAAAATAGCCCCCCCTAGCGGAATAAGAAACGCCGTTTTTTCGGGCTAGCGCTCGATATTAACCGATTCCTTAAAAAGAGCAAATGCAGCGACCTCCTGTTTTCGGGACACCATGTAGACCGTAGCCAACTTACATGCTATTTTCATACACCAAATTGAATTTGCCATACACGCTGTCGGCCTGTTTCAGACGGTGCACCAGTACTACTACGTCCACGCGGTGCTCCTCGAATATTTTGCCAAGCAAAAGCCCTACCAATGTCCACTCGGTAACCGTCAGGCGGATTTCGACAAGTTCATGGCGGACTACACGAAGGCGGTCGCCCAGGTCGACAACAACAAGTCCACGATGTCGTACCTGCCGAGTTCCGACCTGAAGACAGCCACCTAATACTACCCCCGCTTGTATCTTCCTTTCCTTAATGTGAATCCCATAGTGTCTCGAAATAAAATTAATTAACACCTTTGCATTTCGCAGTGAACGCTATATACTACAGCGTTGGGTGCGACACTCTGTACGTCAAAGGCCTTTGTACAGAGAAAGAGAGAGAGAGAGAGAGAGAGAGAGAGAGAGAAAGAGAGCGAGAGAGAGAGATAGAGAATGAGAGAGAAAAAAGAGAGAGAGAGCGAGAGAGAAACTACCGTTTCCCTTGCGAATTCGTTGCTTAAGAAACCATGACAGTGCATAACTTTGTTAGAATTTCAAATCTGCAGCTCGGAAAATCCATATTATCAGGTTTTCCCGCAGAAAACAGGCGAAAACAGTTTGCGGTACATTCAAAGACCGTAGCAACAGCTCGAGAAGCGGGCGCACGTTTTAGACAACTGAATGGCGCCGCTGGTTGGACCATTTTGCAAATAGTTGAAGTAAAGGTTCTTTCAATTATATGGAGTTTAAAGGCTGATCGATTTGGGGGCCAGCATAGCCCACCAAGAGGCGCAGAACCCTTTCCCTGGCGTGAACGATTACCATGTCCTGTCTCTATCCATTCAACAAGCGAGACAACTAATCGAAGTGAACCAAAACGAGTATATTTTTTGGCATTTTTGGGGTGGTTTTATGAGCATTTTGTGATTTTCGTGGCTGCCTAAAGCCTAAATAGTGCCTCCAAACGTTGTAAGCGTGTTAACTGTGAAAACGTGCATGTTGAAAACGGGTATAATTACAAAAATTTATTCTCAAAATATTTACTGCATCACGAATCGAACGAGGAAACATGCGTAAATCGGGGAACTGGGTGAGTACAAAATGAGGCCAGATTTAAAAAGGAGGAGCACGGAAAATTGGGTTATTTGGAAGGTGTTGGTCTGTAGTTTTAATGTGTGAGCTGCTCGAAATTTGCGAAATTTAGCGCCACCGATCCCTTAATGTTTGTGCTTTCGTACATGTCTGCAAGTCGGTGTCGATGTCGAGATCGAGATGGTGAGGACGTCCGCATAGCCTCCACCGTTTTCGGGTTTCTGTTGCTTTTCCTTTTTCTCTTTCTTTCTCTATAAGCTGAGTTTTTTTGCATCTATTGTTTATATGGCTTTTTTTTCTAGCCGTCCATGTACGAGGTGTGATATGTGGGAAACCGGGTTCTGGAAAATTCGAAACTCTGGTTTCGATAGGTCGCTTGGGGGTCCACACGTCGCTTGCCAGTCGTACTGTACTCATGGCCGGGTCTCAACGGGCTTACAAATGTGTGTGTTGTCTTTGAATTTGGATGTTCGCCATGCCAAATATGTATCGGCGTCGTCGTGCTCCACACAATCAAACCACTGGTATTCCGAGATTCCTCGGGGATTTGCGGTAATCCCCCGAGGCGATTTTGAGCGAGTCTGTGGTGTTAAAGTTTTTTTAATCATCTTTGGCTTTTAATTGGCTCCTAGAATGTGCGAATGTGTGCAATACACGCAGCATTTCTGTTTCTGCAGAAGCGTTGCAAGGTCGTGCTTGCGTATTTTCTGTCCCCAGCGTGGTGTGGACAACCGCATAGCTTGCACCATTTAACGCATTCCTGTTTTCTTTCACTTTTTCTTTAACTTCTTCAAGCTTATTTTTTTAGAAATCCTTACTATATGGTTTTTTCTATTAATTTTCTATTTTCCAAGTGCGGTGGATCTCGTAAAGGATGTTCCGGTTTGCGTACACTTGCAGAACGCGCACCGCCCTTTCAGTTTGCTTGGGTTGGTATTAGTTAATTCCTCTTTTGCTCTTTTGCACACACGCGGTTTCCCCGGATGACGGTTCACTGAGGCGCACAGCTAACCTTTTTTGGATTATTGTAGCGTTAGGCAAAGTCGCAGTAATTTGACCGGCTGCTTCGTCTATTCAGCAATCGCAAAAGGGTCCATACGATGGTGCGATAGCATGGCGCCCTATTTCGTGTTGCGTTTTGTCGTGCCTGTTGTGGGCGACACGGTTTAAGAGTTGGGCCTTTATTCCACCTTCAAATAGGGGGGATGCTATGGGCCGGTTCCGGAGAAGGGAGGTGGTTTGGTGAGATCGCTGGCTCGGAATTCCACACTCTCCTTTGCTGGATTACTGTAGCCTTGAGCAGGGCGACAGCGATTCAGCAAGGGTTATTTGGGTGTGTGTGTATGTGCGGGATGCGGGCTTATATGGGAGTTGCTGGGCTCCCGACTTTCCGATATTCTCGGCTGGATAGGCTAGTTTAAGCATCTTTTTTAATGGTGTTTTCCTGTTTGCAACACTTGATCGTCTTTTGGATGGCTGTTTGCTCATTTACTGCACCGATTCTGTAACCGAGCAGCATTTCGATATCGTGCTTGCGTACAACCCTGTCAACACCAAGCCGTACAACTCGATTTTTTGCAAACTGCTCCTTTTGACGGTTTCCGAGTGTCGGGAGACAATCAAGCTGGGGAGCAATGTGGGCAGGTTTCCATATTTCTTAAAGGCTGTCTTTTCCGGAAACGCTGTCGCGCCATCAACTTCAATTTCTTGTATATTTTGCACGCTCCTTTCAATTTGCAAGGGCATTTATATTTTTTAATCGCTCTTCTGCCCTTTTGCACACAGGCTGTTTCTACAGAGTGTGTGCGGCTTGTCTAGCTTGCGGGTATTTTCTTGCGGAAGCCGATAGGCTGCATCGTTTGGCTTCAATATTTTCAAATTATCTCGATTTTTGTTTTTGTTTAAAAAAAATTTAGAGTCGTGGACAGATAATGGTCGTGTGGTTGTCAAGGCCGAATTCACACCTGCCCTTGAGCTTACAGGACGCCTAGTGAATATTGTTACGGTCACCGTAGCGCCCTTGGTTGGATAATAAAGTGTTGATTTCGTTCGTGTTAACATAATCGCACGTAGATTCTAGTTGTCAGTTTTTGATACGTGTGTTTGCGTTGGGGCATGTGCGCGGGTTGCCATAAAAGCAGCACCAGCGGTGTCCCTTTGGGTAGTGTCGAGGCGTCGGGTATCGTTTGGTAGCGTCGCTAGGTCGGGTAGCCCCTCTTTATTTCGCGGCCCGACATTTTCCACAAATAATTTGACGCCTCTTTTCATGTGCTAATGGAATGTTGCGAAGTTTACTTGATCTCAAGTACCTAGTCATTATCTCAACCGATCTAATGATTTTGTATTTGCATCACGGCTGAAGTCTTGCTCATAAATCTGCTGCACTGAATGTCTAAATGGTCTGCGCGCCCGCAAAGACTACACCATCGGCTCGGTTTGTGCAGTTTTCTCAATCAAAATTTAATCCTTAATCAATTTTTGCGCGCTTTCACGCCGTTTTTCCTTTTTCGGTAATTTGCTAGCGGTTTTGGAAATCTCACGCAATGCTTGGGCGATTTTCGGCACAGGTTGTATCCGCGGTAATCACTTGAGTGCTCTAGCATTTCTGACTTCGTTTACGCAAAATTATTTTTGATCGTATTGATTGCCTCGCATTTTGATCTAATCTGTTTAATAAATAATTTCCAGTCTTTTTAATTATTTTGCACTTTCATTTTGGACTTTTGTATTTTCAGTTCCGGCAGTCCCGGCCCGATATAAAACGCTATTTTTATTTAAACATTTTGACTTAGGCCATGTGGTTTTAGCGTACATTCTGAAGCACCGAGCACTGGCAGAAAATCTAGTCCAGTTAGCTTCTGGTCTTTGGGTATACAAATGGCTAGGCTGATGCCCCGACCGATGCACCAATTTGTGGGTCGCTCGATCTAATTGTCGTATTCGGGTATATTTAGATAAACCGATCCGAGCTTGGTTCCCGTGGTCCCGTAAGCTCTTCCCGCTAACGAGCCACTCCACTCATTAGGCTACCCCTTCTGCCTTAGTTTGACTCTGAATATTCAAGGTGAACGTGACAATATGTACTCTAAATGATACGGAGCGATTTGGGGACGAGGCTTGAGGGTTGGCTGTTTATTCGGCGCTAGGCGCGTGTCTCGCTGTTACACCAACAACCTGAATACATACTACATAATATAACCGGAAGGGCGGCGGGAACGGAAAGGGTAAGCATCCAGATACAAACGAGTTGGGGAGAGTCCCTTGCCTTAGCTTACGCCTTGGCCCGGTCCCCTCCGAAACTGCTGCTTTGGGGCCACCCTTGCTAGCCTTGGGCCAGGGGCGGCCCCCACCCTTTCCGCCCTTTCCGCGCCTTAAAAGTGCCTGTGGCCCTACATAATGATTTTTTGGCCGCTATGCTTTTGTTGAGGAAAATAAGGCTAAAAACGGATGATTTTCTTGCCCCTTACATTGTTATATTGTCTTTTAGCTGTATGGATAAAACAACCTGTCTTGTTTTGTTTCATTCTTTCGGATCGGTTTTTAGCTATTCGCCTTATTTTGGGCTGTTTGCTGGCTATTCCGGCTATTCAAAATTAATGTTGTGAATTTAAATTTCTGCTCTCGCATGCAAATTTGTTATAGTTCATGGCCCAAGGGTACATTTAGTGGATTAACGGTTAATACCGGGTCAGAAAATTTAGAATTTCGCCAAAATTGGGTTCGATAAAAAGTGCATTAAAGGAAGAAGGAGAAATATTCTAATGCCTAGTGCGGAAAAAATTCCAACTCGCGTTGCAGTCGGACGTGAAGTGCAGGCCGCTTGTTGGCTCATCATTAAGCGGGAGAGGTTCACAGCTGAAAGTTTCATAATAATCAACTATAATACAAAAGTAAAGACGTCTGTGTGTGTGTGTGTGTGTGTGTGTGTGTGTGTGTGTGTGTGTGTGTGTGTGTGTGTGTGTGTGTGTGTGTGTGTGTGTGTGTGTGTGTGTGTGTGTGTGTGTGTGTGTGTGTGTGTGTGTGTGTGTGTGTGTGTGTGTGTGTGTGTGTGTGTGTGTGTGTGTGTGTGTGTGTGTGTGTGTGTGTGTGTGTGTGTGTGTGTGTGTGTGTGTGTGTGTGTGTGTGTGTGTGTGTGTGTGTGTGTGTGTGTGTGTGTGTGTGTGTGTGTGTGTGTGTGTGTGTGTGTGTGTGTGTGTGTGTGTGTGTGTGTGTGTGTGTGTGTGTGTGTGTGTGTGTGTGTGTGTGTGTGTGTGTGTGTGTGTGTGTGTGTGTGTGTGTGTGTGTGTGTGTGTGTGTGTGTGTGTGTGTGTGTGTGTGTGTGTGTGTGTGTGTGTGTGTGTGTGTGTGTGTGTGTGTGTGTGTGTGTGTGTGTGTGTGTGTGTGTGTGTGTGTGTGTGTGTGTGTGTGTGTGTGTGTGTGTGTGTGTGGTGGTGTGTGGTGTGTGTGTGTGTGTGTGTGTGTGTGTGTGTGTGTGTGTGTGTGTGTGTGTGTGTGTGTGTGTGTGTGTGTGTGTGTGTGTGTGTGTGTGTGTGTGTGTGTGTGTGTGTGTGTGTGTGTGTGTGTGTGTGTGTGTGTGTGTGTGTGTGTGTGTGTGTGTGTGTGTGTGTGTGTGTGGTGGTGGTGTGTGTGTGGTGTGTGTGTGTGTGTGTGTGTGTGTGTGTGTGTGTGTGTGTGTGTGTGTGTGTGTGTGTGTGTGTGTGTGTGTGTGTGTGTGTGTGTCTGAATCCGAATTCAACTCGAAGGGGAAAGGAGCTAGAGCTTAGGTCTCTTCGGATTCGGATAGAGCGTGGTCAGAAACCCCCAAATTGATAAAAAAATTATAAAAAAGTTTTGATTTAAATTATTAAAATTAACTTTGAAAGTGGCGCCTTAATAAAACGAGTGGGGGCCCCTCTCCCGGGAGGCCACGCCCCCTTTTCCCTCGCCCCTCTTCCCCAGGCCCCTTCCCGCGCCGAAAGCTTAGCTTTTTGTTACTTTAATACTTTTAATACTTTTTAATTATGTTAATTTATTATTTAAATAATTTAAAGCCATCGGGAAAGTATTTAGGTAGTTTTTGAAGGGGCTTTCAGCCATGGGGGGTATCTGAAGCCATCAGGAAGGTATTTAGGTAGTTTTTGAAGGGGATTTCAGCCATGGGGGGTATCTGAAGCCATCAGGAAGGTATTTAGGTAGTTTTTGAAGGGGATTTCAGCCATGGGGAGCTATCGAAGTAGTTTTTGAAGGGGATGTCGGCTAAGGGAGGTATCTAAAGCCTTCAGGAAGGTATCGAAGTAGTTTTTGAAGGGGATGTCGGCTAGGGGAGGTATCTAAAGCCTTCAGGAAGGTATCGAAGTAGTTTTCAAGGGGATTTCGGCTCGGGGAGGTATCTAAAGCCATCCGGAAGGTATTTAAGTTTGGCCAAGAGGGGTTTCTCGAACCATCAGCATATGGATTGATCATGTAGAATATGGTGGTGTAAAATATGTAGGGTAGCCCGAAGGCCAGTCGATTACAGTCGCGAAGCGGCTGTAATCGGCTGGTATTTCACAAACCAGGACAAAGCTAGGTTTCATCATGGCCTCAGCCAAGCCGAACCTAAGCCCAAGCCAAGCCCAAGCTAGGCCTAAGCTAAGCTGAGGCTAAGCCTAAGTTAAGCCTAAGCTACGCTTCCGCCAACCCTAAGCTAAGCAAGTCTAAGCTGAATATGGCGGAAATCCACCTTGAAAAGCCCCAAAGTCACCTTGAATTAGGTCTGATGTCCGAACCCCAAAATACTCACAAAAAAATTTCCGCGTTGTCAGATCAATGCGCGGTCCTTGAAAGATCTCCTTTGGATTTCGAGGAGCATTGAGAAGTTCCCGAAAGACGAAGCTGCATCTGAAATCGAGGTTTGAAGACGGGGGCGGTTGATTTTAGGTTTAGCCCTGAAAAATAAGTAACCAACCATTCTGCGGTGTGGCCGGAAGGAGCATAGTCGTCTAGGCTTCTAGGGCCTATTCAGGGGCTATTCACGCACGGCTGCCAGCTTACGTCGGCATGCTGTAGCGTGTGTACACTATGTCGACATGGGTACACATAGGATAACGGGGGGGGGGGAATAAAATAACGGGGGGGCACTCATTATTATGAAATTTGCAATTACTTTGGGATTTTGCGAGTGCCATTCGATAGAGCGTCGAAAAATATACGAAGAGAATTAATTTCGGCCCAAAATAATGTAATAGAAATTTTTTATTGAATAAACAAAAATTGAGGAAAATCTATGGGCAGCACATAGGATAACAGGGGGGGAAAGTCAAATTTTCGAAATTTTCGACATTTTCGGTATTTTGAAAACGTCATCCGATAAAGCGTCGAAAACTGCCCTAGGAAAATTAATTTCAGCCCGAAATAATGTAAATGAAATTTTTGATCGAATAAACAAAAATTGATCAAAATCCATGGGCAGCACATAGGATAACGGGGGGGGAAAGCCAAATTTTTGCGATTTTCGATATTTTGAAAACGCGAATCGATAGAACATCAAAAAATATACTAAGAGATTTTTTTACAACGCGAAAAAATGTATTATAAAAGTTTTATAGCCTAAAAACTATTTTTGAAAACTATGGGCAGCACATAGGATAACAGGGGGGGGGAAAATTTTTTTCGGGGTTTTGAATATTTTCGATATTTTGAAAATGCCATTCGATAGAGGACCGAAAAATATACTAAGAGTTTTTTTTACAGCCCGAAAAAAGCATATTTAAAAATACTTTTATCATATAAAAAGTTTGAGTGCCCCCCCGTTATTTTTTTCCCCCCCCGTTATCCTATGTGTACCGTCGACATGAACCCGAATCACCGTATGAGTCCTGAAAGAAATCGTTATGCTGATTTTGAGTCGTTTTTGCTAATTTTTTCCTGCTTATCAAAAAGCTTAATTGCCCCCAGGCAGGGAAGGCTCTATTTTTTGGGGGATTTTCATTTACTAAAAATCCACAAAATAACGGTGAAATTCCGTTAAAAAGACTTTGCCAAAAACTCACTTGATTTACATTTTTTTCCAGAAGATTTTCAGATATCCGTTTCTTCTCGAACATAAGTAGAATCGATTTTGGCGGGCAAATTACGACGAATCTGCCGTATGATTTGGAGAAATTATCCAAGGTGAAGCGAAGTGCTGAAAAAGTAAAAAGTAATGGCTGTTTGAAATCGAAAAAAACGGCAAGAAATATAGTCGCAAACTATGTAATTAATTTGGCAAGGTAAGACGGTACCAGAATTAGCAGTTTTGCCTTCGTTCCTAACAACGAAGGCAATTTCCCGGGCTGTTATTACTTAAACAGGAAAAATCGGATTACCTTGGCATGTTCAAAAAAAGCATTTCATGGTCGCAAATTTATCTTTTCGCCGGTTAGAAGTTTTGGTATCAAAGTTGAATTAGAAAAATCGACACTCAATTTTTGCAAGCCAGATTAAGCGAATATGACTCATGAAATCCGTGGAAAAGTTGCTGAAATCTAATTCAAGTTAAAAATTAAACCAAAAATAAAATAAAATTACTTCACTTGACATTAGATCAATTAATTTAAAATGAAATCACTGCACGAAAATAAATTCATTCAATTAAAATCAAAATTAACCAAATTAAAAATCAAAATTTATTAAAATTCCGGTAATTCGGGTAAAAAAAGGACTAAAGTAATTGAGTATAAGCAAAAATTGGAACTGATCAAAAAAATCGCGCCCGCACCAAAAAATGTGAATACGGTGAGCGGGCCCGAGAGGGAGGGACGCTTCTGGCGGCGCAAGCTGTAACAACTATGCGCAACACCGCGCTGACCCAGATCGGGGGCCCAACAGGCGGCGTGCGCCTTGTCCCATAATTTATTGGCATCCCGACGCGGGCCGACTGTTTACAGTTGGCACCTAACCCTAACAAGATTTGCAAACACGGAAAAGATCAAGGGCCAGGTATATTGAAGGAAAGAACCAAATGCTAATAGGATTAATTATCGTATTGTTGACGAAAATCGGTTTTGTAACTAATTTTTGTAGATTCAAAAATGGACCGTTATGGAAATTAAAATTGGTAGAAAAGATGGTGGATTTTTAAAATTTGTAAGAAAAATAGCTTTTTTAGGCAGTCTTTTCGTATGTCATTTTATATTGTGCGTTGAATCCGAAAAATATATGCAAATTTATCTACATCATAAAGCACCAATTGCTCTACAATCCCTGAGCATAATTTGGCGATCGGCTTAGCGGCCGAGGTTGAGTCCGAGGCCGGTGTTGAGGCCAACACCAGGCTGGACTCCGACGCCGCCTCCGTATCCGCCTCCGAGCAGCTGTCTGCGCTCACGAATCTGGGCGGGCTTCTGGTGCTCGGTGTCGCGTCCGACGCGGGTGTTCAGGCCGGCTTGGACTTGGCGGGTTTCTGAAAATCAAATGTTTAGCGGGAGATTTCTAGGGTAAACGACAGAGACAGAGGGAGAGAGAGAGAGAGAGAGAGGGAGAGAGAGAAAGGGAGAGAGGGAGAGAGAGCGCTTTTGGGGGCCTGACTTACCGATCTTGTGCTCCTCGTTGTGCATGGTCTTCTCTACGTCACGTCCGACACGTCCACCGGCTCCAGCGGACACCTGGCGGGCAGGTCGTTCAACTTTCGTCTCAGCATGCATCTGCTTCTCAACATCACGTCCGACACGTCCGCCAGCTCCGGCAGATACTTGACGAGCGGGGCGCTCAACCTTCGTCTCAGCATGCATCGTCTTCTCAACATCGCGTCCGACACGAGCGTTCAATCCCGCGTTGACTTGGCGGGTTTCTAAAATTGAAGGATTAGATCAAGCGAAAACTGCGGTTGAATATTCGCTAGATCGCGAAAAACGAAAACCCACCGATCTTGTGCTGCTCATGCATCTGTTTCTCGACGTCACGTCCGACACGTCCTCCGGCTCCAGCGGAAACCTGGCGGGCGGGGCGCTCAACCTTGGTCTCCGCATGCATCGTCTTCTCAACATCACGTCCGACACGGGTGTTCAGATCGGCGGCAACTTGGCGGGTCTCTAGAAAGGTATCGTTGATTTACTCGTCTTCAGCAGTGGAAGCAAATAAGTTGGTTGAAATTAAAGCAGTCAATTTACCGATCTTGTGCTCCTGGTGCATCTGCTTCTCGACATCACGTCCGACACGTCCACCAGCTCCAGCGGACACCTGACGGGCGGGGCGCTCAACCTTGGTCTCCGCATGCATCTGCTTCTCAACGTCACGTCCGACACGTCCTCCGGCTCCGGCAGAAACCTGGCGAGCAGGTCGTTCAACCTTCTCGGCGTGCATCGTCTTCTCGACGTCGCGTCCGACACGGGTGTTCAGTCCAGCGTTGATCTGACGGGTCTCTGAAACGCGTTGTTTAGTTAGGTCCGCTTTGCGTTGAGGGTCTGTGATAATTGGATCGTTAGTGATAACTTACCGATCTTGTGCTGTTCGTGCATCTGCTTCTCAACATCACGGCCGACACGTCCACCGGCTCCGGCAGACACTTGGCGGGCGGGGCGCTCAACCTTCTCGGAGTGCATCGTCTTCTCGACATCGCGGCCGACGCGGGTGTTGAGTCCGGCCTGGACTTGGCGGGTTTCTGGAATATTGGTAAGTTCCTGACAGTACTCTTTGAGGGTTTCGGCACACATTTCAAGCATTCAGCACCAGTAGTCAGCGGATGAACGTACCGATCTTGTGCTCCTGGTGCATCTGCTTCTCAACATCACGTCCGACGCGTCCGCCAGCTCCAGCGGACACCTGACGGGCGGGGCGCTCAACCTTCTCGGCGTGCATCGTCTTCTCGACATCGCGTCCGACACGGGTGTTCAGATCGGCTTGAACTTGGCGGGTTTCTGAAAAGCTTGTTTAATTCCGTAATTTCGGAGCAGTTAAAGTCCATTGTTAGCTGTAACTCACCAATCTTGTGCTGCTCATGCATCTGCTTCCCGACGTCGCGTCCGACGCGTCCACCTGCTCCAACGGACACCTGACGGGCGGGGCGCTCAACCTTCGTCTCAGCATGCATCTGCTTCTCAACATCGCGGCCAACTCGGCCGCCGACTCCAGCGTTCACTTGGCGAGCTTCTAAAAAGGTGAATGTCGTGGTGCGTTTCAAGGTATTCGGATGCAATAGCGAAACTATCGTAGCGTACTTTAAATTTTCTACTACTCACCAATCTTGTGCTGCTCCTCGTGCATCTGCTTCTCAACATCGCGGCCAACTCGGCCGCTAGCTCCAACGTTTACTTGGCGGGACTCTGAAAGGAGTTGGTTGGAGAGAGAGAGAGAGAGAGATAGAGCAAGAAAGAGAGAGAGAAAGAGAGAGAGTGAGAGAGAGAGAAAGAGAGAGAGAATGATCACCTACCAATTTTGTGCTCCTGGTGCATCTGCTTCTCCACATCTCTTCCGACGCGAGTGTTGAGGCCGACGCCAACTAAAATGAAAAATTATATTAAAAATATATTAAGTTTTTGGCTAAATTCAGGTCTTTCAGTTTAGGCCTGAGCCTGGCCGAAGTCGAAGCCTGAGCTTGAAGCTAAGCTAGGCCTAAGCCTACGCAGAAGTCAAAGTCAAAAAATACAGAAAACCCCAAAACCCCGCAAAAATCCAAAGCTACCGTACCCTGGGCGTAGGCCGAAGAGGCCACTAGTAGAGCGATGAGAGCGACTTTCATGTTTGAGTCTGACTCCAACACCGCACCCCCGGCTTTTATACCAAGGATGTGTTTTCGATATCCAAATCTTCAAGGTTGGCCAAGGCTCGCCAACGCCCCCCGCGGACTTGTTTTTTCCCTCGCCAAACTGTTTTGGTCAACCACCCTATTTTGTTGGTGCGCCGGTCAGCAAGGGGGAAGGGGGGCTGTAGATACAAGGAGTTCCTCCCGGTACCCTTGCCATATCTCTCTCTCTCTCTCTCTTTCTCTCGCTGACTCTCACTCTCACACTCTCTCTCGCTCTCTCTCACACTCTCTCGCGCTCTCTCACACTCTCATTCGCGCTCTCTCTTTCTCTCTCTCTCTCTCTCTCTCTCTCTCTCTCTCTCTCTCTTTCGCGCTCTCTCTCTCTCTCTTCACTCGATCAAGGTTTATTTTGTTCGGGGAAGGGCCCCACAGGTTCGATCTTCCCGGTTGCGGGGGGGATGAGGACGATAACACCCGGCTGCCTGTTTTGGACTGTTGATGTGAGCCTTTTTGTCCTCTTGCTTTTCTCTCTCTCTCTCTCTCTCTCTCTCTCTCTCTCTCTCTCTCTCTCTCTCTTGTTCTCTCCGGCCTCTCCTTTACCGGGAAACAACGCTACCGGATGAATACGTCCCTCCAGCAAAGAATTGCTACTTGAATCGGATGAATTTGAATTTTAGCCCAGAGGCTGGAGAGTAAGCAACAGCTAGTGAGATATAGAGCTTGAGAGAGAGCGTGAGGGGGAGCTAGCGAGAGGGAGAGAAAGAGAGAAGGAGAGCGCTAGAAAGACAGAGCGAGCGAGAGAAATACATGGTGTGAGGCAGGGAACAACCTGCGGAGGTTAACTAACTGTAACATACTGTGTAAACTTGAGTTTTGGATGCTGCAAAATTAAATACCCTTCTAAAACGAAAACTTTTACGATAGTTACCATCTAGAAGGCCATATTGTGGAACGGAGAACATAAAAATTTGGAATACAAATCTCGGTCTACCGTAACCCTTGTCCACTGCTCGGTCCGATTTTGAATTTCAATCAGCACAATGGGATGCCTACAGTTATACGATGTGCATTTACCGCAGCAGTAAAAATCGAAATTCTAGATCGATAGATTTCTCTTCTGATCAATATCTTTGCAGATAGAATCTACTTCAGAAGAAAAATGTACTACCCATCTCTAAGCTGACATTACCTTTTTTTGTGTATCTGACTTCACCTTCTCTAATTTTCTCATTCTCGCTCTCTCTACGTATCCGTGCATTTGTGTGTCTGTGCTTCCACCTTACTTTCTTGCTCTATAGCGCGGGTTCTCTCTACATATCTCTCTCTCTCTCGCTCTCCCTCTCACTCTCCCCTCTCTCTCTCTCTCTCTCTTTCTCTATATCTCTTTATCTTTTTTTTCGACCCGGACATCTTTCCTCGAAACGGGAAAGTGCGCATTGGACTACGGTGAAATCCACCCCCCCCAGTTGGTAAGCAAAACAACAAGGTTTCCCGGGGGGACAAGGTCACCGCCCCACCCTAGACCGGACTGGACTAGATGTCTGCTTTTCTGGGTCGACGAAAGATCGCGTCATTTGGCATTTAGCGGATTCGTCTATGGGAGATCGTTAGTCCGAGTTCAAGTGACGTTTGGCGAAGTGATACCTTGGCCACTTTCTACCGTATCACTCCTAGGAATTACGAGTATTTGGCTCGGCCCTTTGTTGATTAGAGATCAAAATGTTGGTGTTGTGGAGGCGTATGCTTTTATTAAAATGTAATGTAGTAAGATCAGAAGATATCTCGCATTTCCTAAATGATTTTTATTTGCCTTACCAGGGTTGAAAAGCCGCTTCGCGACTTTTCAACCCTGGCCCCGTCTGATTCGATGATATTCGACACTTTGTATATTTGTTCATGAATCCCCCATTCCGAAAAATGAAAAACATCCCCCTTCTGTCCCTTTATATAGGCTTTCGCCACTTCCGGCGCATGCAACTTTTCTCCTAACAAAGAGGGAGACCCGAATTTTCATAAAAACCTAATTTTAATGTCGAAAGTACCACTTTTGTAAAATTTGATATGTGTGCAGTCGTGTCATGACCATTACGCACCTTTTGGCGTATCAAACACACCCTTAACTTCCTCCCCTATCGAGATACGACTGGAACATAATGACGGGAGTTGCATGCAAAGTGGCACACACACACACAAACACTATTTTTTTATATATAGTAGGATTTGCATCTTTATTTGCCGGGTAGGTCCTTCTGCTGGGGAGCCGCGCGTCCGACACGGGTGTTCAGATTGGCACCGACTTGACGGCGGGTTCCTGGAATCAGCAATTTTACCACGGTGCTATCGAAACTACTTCGAAGCTGTAGTTTCTAGGTTGTAGGTTAAGTAAATTTGAGTTTGATTGAAGTTTTTGAAAAACGTCCGTCCTTTTTAATCACCTTCTCCTCGGAATTTTGATGAATTTCTCTATTTAAGAATCTTATTCAAAAAATTCCGTCAACGCCTTGGGCTCTGATCCTGTGCCAGTTTAAAGAATTTTAAGCGCCTAAATACCGCAGAACCGCCCGGAATGAGCAATTCTGTCTTTGCTTTTTGCAAGCTCATTAATTTTATTTAAGAGATTTTGCTAATATATTTTTTACTATCCTGCAACCCCGTTATTACTACTTTCTGCAAAATATAAAGGACTACTCACCGTGCCTGTGCTCATCGCCGCCCATCTGGTCCTTCTGAACTTGGCCGGTTTCTGAAATAAGAGTGTGTGATAGAGAAAGAGAGAGAGCGAGAGAGAGCGAGAGAGTGAGTGAGGGAGAGGGAGCGAGAGAGAGAGAGAGCGAGAGGCGAGAGATGAGAGAGAGAGAGAGAGAGAGAGAAAGGACTGAGGTTGAGAAGCTGTTTCACTAGCTCTATCTCTCTCTCTCTCTCTCGCACTGTCTCACTCTCTCGTTCTCTCTCTCTCTCGCTCTCTCTCACTCTTGCTCACGTTCTCTCCTTCTCTATCTATCTATTTCTCTTTATTTCTTTGTATTGGCGAAAAGTTGTTTTTTTAGATTTGAAAGACTTTATTTCCATAATAAATACACGTAAGCTTATTTTTATTATTACTGCTTCTTGACGGCGGCCATTGGAGTCGGGTTGACGTAGAGAGGGGCTAAAATGATTATATATTTCGTTAAAGTCGGTATTTCCGTTAAAAATTGAATTCAGCTGACTTACTTGAGGTTCCGGAGTAGTGAATAGTGAAAGGCTGAATGTTGTTGTCTCCGCTGTTGTACCAGGTGACCATAATCTAAAGTACTGATATTATAAATTGTTAATAGCTGGTTTTCTTCCGCTCTCTCTCTCTCTCTCTCTCTCTCTCTCTCTCTCTCTCTTACCTGTGGCGAGCTCGCGCTCAGCGTCAAGGTGTAGGTCCTCGGGTTGAAGTTGCCCTCTTGCCACAGCGGCTTGGTGCGGTCGAAGCCGTCGAAGACGTTCAGGTTGAAGTCGTTCTAAAGATTGATTTTTATACCGTAGTCTAGTCTACTACTTACCAATGCCCTAATGACGCTGATTTCAACGTTAGCATAGTTGTTGAAGGCGCTGATTTGGTACTGGCAGTTGAGCTGGTTGGAGAACTCGAACGGGTAGCCGGGGGAGGTGATCTGGAATTGGTGGGGTTGTTGGAATAAGAGAAAGTTATCGATTTGCCTATATTTAGTGATATTATCCTACCGTTCCGTTATTTCCAAAGAACGTCGTGTTTCCACATGTGGGCGGAGCTGGCTGGGTGGGCATCGGCAGGCCTTGAGGGCGCGCGCAAACGGCACGGAAGTGGCTCTCGCAGGGCTGGAAATAGGAAAATTGATCGTTTTTAACTTTATCTAGCTAGCTGGCTTGAGTATAATTAATATTAAGTTTTTAAACTCTAAATCTTACCACAGATAGCCACTGCCCCGCGTAGTACATCTTCGAGGTGGAGAAGGCGTAGCAGACCGGGGCTGGGTCCTGGCGAGCTGAAAGAAGTTCGATGTAAAAGTTAAAAGTGTTGTTCTCTCTCTATCTCTCTCTCTCTCTCTCTCTCTCTCTCTACTTACGAGCATAGTTGGCAAAGTCCAGCCTCGATCCATCTGTCCAGGTGGAATTGATGCCGTCATTCTTCAGGCCGATCCACGCAGCGTTTCCGATACCATGCGATGCGATGAAATCCATCAGGAAGTATGTCGTCTAGAAGACATCTTTAGGTAAGTTGACGCAGGAAAATTACCGCGTTGTCGTGAACCGAGGCTAGATGACCTCCATCTGATTGGCAAAGAGCCTCGGCCAACGCCATTGTGTAGGTCTGGTCGGTTTTGGTCTCAAAATGTGGAAAACATAACCCTAAGCAATAATTTAATGTTGTAGATGTTTAAAACTCTGGGGCATACAGTAACTTACCGTATAGCAGGTGCCGTTATAGGGGAACCAATTCGCCGGGCAGCCGCTCGGGCTCGGGGTGGTCATGAACTGGGCGCCGGCTGAAATAAGCGATTAGAAAAATAAATGTTTTTAGGCTTCTTATGAAAGCTTGCAAAAAGCTTTATGAAAATCTAATTAGCGTTCCAAGCTCCGAGGGCTTTCAGGCCGAGGCGAGGCCGAGGCGCGGTCGGCCTTCAGAGAAAAGTTCCATTTTTGACACTAAAAATTTTCAAAGGCGTGGATTAAATTAGTATAATTAAATTTACTAAAAAGTAAAATCATAGTAAAGCCGTAATAGTGGTGTAAAACTTACTGGAAAGTAAAAGAAATCCAAAATCTCGCTAAAAACGAAGCCAATGCCCGTTCAGAATTGATAACCGAATTGCCAAGAAAGCGCTGCGCAAGCAACGGGAGCCTCAGAGCTCAAGCTCAAAAAGCAAGTCAGAAAGGCAGCTTACCAATGGCGACGAAAACCGCAAGAGTAGCTGCTCGGAGGGCCATCTTTTTTAAGTTGGTAGCTGAAGGATTGATACTCTCCCTCACAAACTTCAAGCTTTTATACCCAAAACCCCCGTCCTTATCGCCAAAATGAGATTATCGACGCTGACAAAATTATCTTCAAGCCTCCCCTGCTTCTTCTTTGTCCTCCCAAAAAAAAGCTGGGTGTGGCCACAGGAAATGATGATTTTTGCGGGGGGAATTATTGGAACGGGCCATTTCCTCCTCGAAAATCGGCCCAGGCAACGCCCAAACCACGGCTTATCACCAGCGGAAACCGCCGCGAGCCCCGAAATGGGTGTCCGATTTCTGGAAAGCTCTGGCGTGCAGATTAGGGCTTGGTGTGGTTGGCTTGGAGGTACTGTACTTTTTATCCAGGTTTTTATTAACAAATTTATATAGCTAATTGCTGAATTTTCGAAAATTTGGGCTTAATCTGGATAGAGGATCGCTTCCTACGCTACAAATTTGCAAAAAAAACGCTTTAGAAAAGGCCACAAAAATTTTTACACTGGTTTTTGTAAAATAATCGTATCTTATCGGAAAATCGTACGGCTCCCCACCATTAATTCTAAAATCATTACTTCTAAAATCGTTACTTCTTAAAGCATTAATTCTAAAATCATTACTTCTAAAAGCCTGGCCAAATGAGCAGAAAAACTGAGAATCCGACGTAACAACTTTTAGAAGTAACGTTTTTAGAAGTAATGTTTTTAGACGTAATGATTTTAGCAGTAATGATCGCCCCCCGATTTTCCAATTCAGGGTGGAAGCCTCTACCACATCACACTCCCTCCCCGTCCCCCTTCCGCCTGCGACCATACCACGTTGAAAGCACGGCATCCCGTCCAGGGTTGTTCAGGGACGGACGGGACGGACGGGGACGGGGACGCGTCCCCGTCCCCTAATTTGCATCCCGAAATGGGGACAGACGGGGACGGGACGGGGACGGTGGGGACAGACGGTGACGGGTAGAGTGAGGGAGGCCTAGGCTAAAGCCTAGGCTTGCCTAGGCTTCCTCAGGCTTTTTTAATTGGCATCGCCTAGGCTGAGCCTGGGCTATGCAAAGTACGCCTGACCTCTAATTAGTGTCGGACAGCACCCCAAGAAACGCACCCCGGGTGCCTTTGAAACGCACCCCAGGGGGTCTTTGAAACGCACCCGGGGTGCCTTTCAAACGCACCCCGGGGTCTGTTTGAAACGCACCCCGGGGTGCGTTTCAAAGGCACCCCACTCCCTCGGGGGTGCATTAATAGTGTCCCCGGGTGCCTTTGAACGCACCCCGGGGTGCCTTTCGGGGTGCGTTTGGGGGTGTGTTTTGGGGTGCGTTTCGGCCCCACAGGTTGCAAAGAATAGCAAGGAAAGCCGATAAATAAAAGTATATTTGACATAAGAATATTACAGATACGTTTTACGATGCTTTCTAGACACAACTGATGCCATCTGGCGGCTCTGCTTTCAGTAACATATATTTGATAGTGTGTATTGGCGTTCTAAACGATTTATGGTAGGATTTTCATATTTTTGGGGGTTAAAATGTTTTTGCTCATGTTGTTGGAAAAGAATGAAAATTATTTACGTGCTTTTCAAAAACGGAACAAATAACAATTAATTGGAAGTAACTGGAGTATAAAATACGGCAGCAATAGCATTTTGAAGGGTTTTATATGGGTTTATAAGGTTCTATAAGGGTTCTACAATATTTCTATGTCAAATATAATTTTATTTTTGGGCTTTCTTTGCTATTCTTTGCAGCCTGTGGGGCCGAAACGCACCCCAAAACACACCCCCAAACGCACCCCGAAACGCACCCCGGGGTGCGTTCAAAGGCACCCGGGGACACTATTAATGCACCCCCGAGGGAGTGGGGGTGCCTTTGAAACGCACCCCGGGGTGCGTTTCAAACAGACCCCGGGGTGCGTTTGAAAGGCACCCCGGGTGCGTTTCAAAGACCCCCTGGGGTGCGTTTCAAAGGCACCCGGGGTGCGTTTCTTGGGGTGCTGTCCGACACTACCTCTAATTAGTCAGGCTTTATCTGGAAATTTTATGCAAAGTCGTAGAATATTCGAAGGTTTGCCGAACAAATAAGGAATTTTTTTAAACTTCCGGGGGGTCGAAGGGCTGTATTGGGACCGAGAATATTCTACAAAGTTAGGTTACTGTTTTTGACAAACCTTACGACACGATACGTTAACAGCACGCGGATACACAAAAGCCAAGTGTCGGTTCAAACGGGCGGGGGGTGCAATTGCCTCTCCTGACATCTTGCCTATAGTTTTCCCACCTTCGGCTCCCTTGTAATTTGTTATTGCGTCAAAGATACCGACGTTTTAGATGCAGTAACCAGATTAACATGATTTTACGCATTGCATAAAAAGCCTGCCTAAATCCTTAGGCTTCCGCCAGGCGTCGGCAGGCGCGGAAATGCAATTCGGCCCAAGAAAGCCTGAGGAGGCCTGCCGCTCCCTCACTCTAGTGACGGGGCAGCGTCCCCGTCCCCGATGCAAATTACGGGGATAAAGTACTGGCATTCAAATCACGCATCGGCTGGGTTTAGAATTTGGCAGAGCAAGGTACAGAACGTGGATAGCATGATTACGATGAAGGGCTTATAACCTAGCACGTAGAGTAAGTAACCAATTGCTTTCTAACTTGAATATCTCGAATTTTTAAGCTCTGTAGCAAATTCCAAAAAAATGGTGATTATCTGCAGCGCCGACGCCATCTAGATATAACTTCCAGCTTGGCCTGAGTTGCATGTATTTTTGACTCCCCTAAAGAAACGAGAAGGAGACCCGAAATAATTACTGGTAGGAAAACCATTTGCATTTCCGCATTTGAATCGGGGGCGGGGTGACGCTGACCGTCACCCCGTCCCCCGTCTGTCCGTCCGTCCCTTTTCGGACGCGTCCCCGTCCGTCCCCTAATTTTTATGCGAAATAGGGTGACGATCCCGCGTCCCCGTCCGGACGCGGACGGACGGGGACGGGACGCAAAATGACCAACCCTGATCCCGTCCGATCTGCCAAGTTAAGCAACGTTGGGCTCGGTTAGTACTTGGATCGGAGACGGCTTGGGAATCCCGAGTGTCGTAGTTTTTGCACTTCCGCGTATACCGAGTTGATTTTTGTCCTTCAGAAGTGGTTTTCCAAGCACTTTTGAACGTTTTTGTTGTCCTGATTATCAAGGCTTGGGTTTCCAGAGAGCTCAGATTTCCAATGGGTCGGCTTTTCTGTGATTCTTTAGTTCAGCTCCTCCAATTTTCGAGACCCAATTGTAGTAGATTGTAGTTTAGTTACAGCTGAATTTTTAGCTTGTTTGCTATTCAATCTTTGGTTTTCGAGCGATGTTAGGAAACGCACATTTATTCAGACTAGCAACCGCAGCGATCAATCTATATAGTTACGGGGTATTCACTCAGCTTGAGCGGGAGCAAGATGGCTGCTGGATGTCGAAATTATCGTTAAGTGCTCCCATGTCACGTAGAATCACCTCCCACGGGTTCTCATTCCTGGAAAGAAGGATTTTATTTAGGGTATCTTGCTGGATCACATTAATATGCAGCCTGATACATCAAGGAGAAATCGAGAAAACCCATTTTTTTTGGTTTCTACACTTCAAGATTTACCCCAAATTTTCAATCCACGCTCCCTCTTGAGCCAAGTTAGCACGGCCACTTACTTCATAGCCTCCTCCTCTTCCGGCGTGAAGTCGTTTGTGAGCTGCCAAATCTCGCGAATCTCCTCCGGATTCTTCCCTTTGATCATAGCAGCGATGGTTTCGGCTGATTTGTCGAGAAGGCATTTGATGTCCAGGTAGTTAGCAGCCTGAAAAGAACATTGTTTAAGTCACGAATCGCTAAAAAAGCTGAAATTTCTATATTTTTAGAATGTAGGCATTTTAATAGCTTTTGAGTTGTCAAAAACTGCCAAAAACCGTAAAAAATACACTAGAAGTATGCTGGAAATGTCTAGGTAAGTGTCACCCCCGTTAGCAGGTCAGTACTCCCAACACTATAGTCCGAGGCCCAAAGCCGAAATTTTACATGACCTATCAAAAATTCCAAAAACCCACGGTGATGACGTCGAAGAGCTGCTCCGAAGTGAGCGCATCCATATAAGCGTTCTCCCACTTCTTCATCCCCTCGTCCCGTTCATTCAGCCACCACTTGTCCTCCTCCCATGCCGGCATCGTCTTGTGCTGCTCACACCATTTTACCAGCTGCAAAATAAATTGGTTTCTTCTGTTAATACCAGAAAAATAAGACATTACTAGTGCCGCTAAGGAAATTGCTAATCAAATGCGAAATCGCTAATGAAACTCCGGAGAAACACCTACAAAGTGAAGCGTCTCGCCGGAGACGTTCATCAGCGGAATCGGCTTCATATTCCGGATCGATTCATCATCCTCGACTCCCAGATCCTGAAAAATGGTTGTAAGTAGTAAGTCGAGGTAAGCTCATTATGTTATAAACTTATTTCACGTTTTTTTTTTAATTTTAAGGAAATTCTAAAAAGCTATAAAAGGGCTAGTTAAGGCAAGTCTGAGAATTTTTATGGTTTAGGCCTAAGCAGCAAAAAGTACAATTTGATTTAAACCTTCCGGTTGAAAATTACAAATCGAAAGCGCTACACCAACGAAAGGCCATGTGCCAGAGATAATCTAGAGCAAACAAAGCCCAGAAATACTCCATAGCCAAGAATAAAAGTTCCGCATTGTCAGTTCCTTGAAGGCAAAGACTATCCTGAACGTACCCGTGAGATCTGCTTGACGACCCCGAACAGCTGGGCGGCCGACTTCTCGAGCGTGACTTCCATGCCTTCTTTTGAGTGGAACTGAAAAAACAACATTTTATTATTTGCCTACTGTATTTTCAGTGCAATAAAAACCGTTTTGGATTTTAAAGAGTTAGGCAAACGGAGGCTTTCGCCGATTTCCGAGGGAGATGTTTGAGGAAAAAACATTATGACAATTTACCCGATAGAGAGCCTCCTCCTTGAGTCGCTTTGACGATTCGGGGCCTTCTTCGAAGTTGGGAGCCATCGTTTTTGGTTCGGAAGCGGAAATTGGGAGATGTGGCAGAGTGAAATGGGGATGATTTTTCACAAAAATTGTGCGCCTTATATTCGGTACGACAGATGCGCTGGCGGTGTCACCAAGTCTGCGCCAGACAGTTTCGGGTCAAATCATATCAAATCGAGATGCGAGCACTAATGGAATGATCAGCACGGAACCCCCGCTATTGCATAAAATGGAGTATTAGCTTCCTAGAAAGCGGATAAACATTTCTAAATTAGCATGCAACTTCCTAATATCACTTCCGGTCACGCAAACTACCCACACCTGGCTCACTATTTTCATTGACAACCTACAGTACCCAGTTGTCGACAACCTACCTGGAAGTGATGATCCTCGATCATGAAGGAGGAGATTCTGTGATGAGGCCTGGCCATTGCACTCCCCAGTCAGGCTGAACCACAACACGATTCCCCCAATAAGGGATCGTGTACTTTCCAATTTTTGAGTGAGGGGTCCCGGGCGGTAGCGGGGACCCTGCTAATACGGAAAATACAGATGCCGTCGAAGACTTCCCTCTCTTTGTGCACTCCCTTGAGGGGAATGCGTTCCAAAATTTGTTCGAAACACTCTTTTGAGGAGGTCTCGGGGTTAATGCTAACCTCAAACTTGGGTAATTAAACCGAAGCCGTCGAGGGGTGGCTGCTTTTCTGTCCTATCCAGCTAGTAGATAACAGTCTCTTGCAGGGCAACACTCCAAAAAGCGAGCATCTGCTCGCCTGATACCTCCACTACCCAGCTCCATACGAGCTGGGGTGGCTGCTGTCTGAGACCTCTAGCTCTGTCCCAGTCTCTAGGGTACCGCTAACACTTCACCCTCTCTGCCCGATCTCCTTTCGCCTACGACCATACCACGTTGAAAGCACGGCATCCCGTCCGATCTGCCAAGTTAAGCAACGTTGGGCTCGGTTAGTACTTGGATCGGAGACGGCTTGGGAATCCCGAGTGTCGTAGGCTTTTTGCACCTCGGGGGCATAACGTTTATTTTTGGTCCTTGTAAAGTGCTTTTATAAGCTTGAAGCTTTTTCGCTATTCTCCGACGGTGGAAACTTTTGAAGCTTCGAGAAACAGCTACACAGAGAAAGAAATTAACTTCGTAGAATCGAGATTCCGAGACGACTTATATCTAAAAATCAATAATCTGTACGGTCAGCTAAAATTCGAAAACTCCTGCTTTTCTTTTGCATGCATTGAAAGACTTTATTAGCACGAATTTCAAGAGTTATTGTTGCTTCTCGGCAACGGGCCTTGGAGTCGGGTTGACGTAGAGTGGGGCTAAAAAAATGGGTGTTCTGAGTTTATCTAACCGTTAAGGTATCCATAGCTGCTCTCTTAAAACTCACTAGCAGTTCCGGAATAGTGGATCGTGAATGGCTGAACGTTGTTGTCGCCGCTGCTGTACCATGTGATTCTGATCTAAAAAATCTGATTTCTAGGATCGTTCTCTCTCTCCCTCTCTCCCTCTCTCGCACTCACCTGCGGGGATCCCGAACTGAGCGTCAAGGTGTAGGTCCTCTGAGTGAACCGTCCCTCCTGCCACAGTGGCTTGGTTTGATCAGTGCCGTCGAAGACGTTCAGGTTGTAGTCGTTCAAGGCCCTAATGACGCTGATTTCAACGTTAGCGTAGTTATTGAAGGCGCTGATTTGGTACTGGCAGCTCTGGCGGTCCGAGAACTCGAACGGGTAGCCGGGGGATTGAACCTGGAATTAGGGGTTCTAAAGGCTTTTTACGACATTAAGAACTTGATTTTTTTTAATAATAAGTACAGTAAGTAGAAAAGTGATATTTAATAAGTAAGGAGGATTCCCCACCGTTCCGTTATTTCCAAAGAACGTCGTGTTTCCACATGTAGGCGGAGCTGGCTGGGTGGGCATCGGAAGACCTTGAGGGCGAGCGCAGACGGCATGGAAGTGGCTCTCGCAGGGCTAGAATTGAATTATTTAAACTGTAACTAAACATTGCTAATTTTTCGTGGTGTATCTAATGGCTTATAATTGGGTTTAAGGTCCTAAAACTTACCACAGACAGCCACTGGCCCGGGTAGTAGATCTTGGCGGTCGAGAAAGCGTAGCAGACCGGAGCTGGGTCCTGGCGCGCTGAAGGAAGGGGATATTAGTTAAAAGTATAAGAGTTGAAGTGGCTCCTGTCTTCTTGCTCTCTCTCGCTCTCGCTCGCTCTCTCTCTCTCTGTCTATCGCTACTTACGAGCATAATTGGCAAAATCAAGCTTCGATCCATCAGTCCAACTCGAGTTTCCGCCGAGGTTCTTCAGCCCAATCCACGCCGCATTTCCGATTCCGTGAGAGGCGATGAAATCCATCAAGAGGTAGGTCGTCTAGATAACTCTTTAGGTAAGTTAATAGCCGACTTTCACCGAGTTATCATGCACCGAAGCCAGGTGACCACCGTCAGCTTGGCACAGAGCCTCCGCCAGCGCCATCGTGTAGGTTTGGTCGGTTTTGGTCTGAAAGTGCGGAAGGTAAAACTTTTGGAAGCTGACCAAGGTAAGGTTTGTCGTATCCTAAAATGCCATTAACTTACCGTATAACAAGTACCGTTGTAGGGGAACCAGTTGATTGGGCAGCCGGTCGGGCTGCGCGTCATTTGGGCGCCGACTAGAAGAAGGTTTTTGCGAAGTTTAGAAATTAGAAGTCTAGAAATTCCTTCGACAGCTACGCCGCGCTGCAAACGACCGGCGCAAGTTCGATTCATTAAGCTTGAAGCGGTCTTTTTAAGCGAAGTACTCCATGCAGTTTGCGGCTTCCGGTCGAATACGTGGCTGTCTAGACCCAGCCGTTGACATGGGTCGTATTGGCTGTTTTCTAGCCCCTTTAATTAGGTATGGACTATCGCCACGATAGGCAGCTTACGGTTACGTTCTGTTTTCAGTTTTCCAAAAAAGTTTTTTCGCCTTTTTGCGCATTTTGAAACCTAGGTGACTACGGTGGATTTGTGAGTTAAGCCTGACTTTAACTAAGAAAATCTACCAAAAAGGGATTTGTATTATATGGATTTTAAATTTAGAGACATATTTATTTTAAATTTTGTCTGACCGGAATTGGTAGCTTAACTAAACTAAAAACTAAAAAGCACAACTAAAGCGGTGAAGACAGCTGCTCGAAAGGCCATGGTTACGGTAGACGGCGACGAGGTGCTGCTGAAGGCTAAATGGAGCTCAAAGATTGGATAATTTCTGCCGAATACCTCATACTTTTATACCCAGAAATCTTATCCCATTATCTCCAAACAGAAATTAACCGGCAATGACAATCCTAGCTCCACCTTACCCTGGACTCTGTTTCAGCCTTGCTCTGGTCAAAAAACCAGGGTGTGGCCCGGGTGATGATTTTTGGAGGCGATTATTGGAACGGGGGCTTTCCTGCCCCGAAAATCGACCGAGGCGACGCCCAAATCAGCGGCTTATCACCAGCGGAAACCGCGACGGGCCGCAAATGGGTGTCCGATTTTTTGGAGGGCACAGATTAGCCGGCAAAGGTGGTGCGTTTAGATTAGAGGTACCGTACCGCGGCATCAAAAGCTCAAACTAGCAACTTTCGGGTTTGCCAGCTATGAACAGTTCTAGAATCGGCGTTTTTTGTAGAATTTTTTCCGTATTATGCCCGTTTTATTTGGAAAAATTGCATTAGATTCCCGTAAAACAGAGTATGAAATTTTGTTACGGTAGCTTGAGAACAACACATAAAAATGATTTTTTTTAGGTAACTTGCTTCGAATAAAATTTGAATTGAGGGTAGCATGGAATTAGAACTTTCCGTTTGTTAAACACATTTCACTTTCTCTCTCCCTCTGTCTTTCTCTCGCTCTCTCTCTCTATCTCTGTCTTTCTCTCGCTCTCTATGTCGCTCTCTCTCCCCCCGCTTCCCTTCAAATTAGGATTTGCTAAATCTGCAAAAATCTACATAAATTATTTGACTCCAATTTCATCACTTCCTTGCTCTGCAAAAATGAAAAGCCCACCTCACTTTCATACTTTTCTTATTACATGTGGCACGACAAGAATTTTTTGCATTTACCAGATCAGGTGAGTCCCGTGGAGTTCCTATTTGAAAACGTCAACTTCAGCGTCTTCTCTGCACCAAGTACGGGACGATTTGCACGACTATTAGTGTGGGTTTGAAGAATATCTTTACCAAAGAAACGGGTTATGCTTTTATTTAAAAGAATTCGCATCATCTTCAGATACCCGAGCCCACCTGGATGCCCTTCAAGAAAGAAGACACCGACCGATTGGCCGTCCTCACCTCCGCCGGCCTGCTCTACGTCTACCACCTGAGTTTGCAGACCGTCGGCGCTGGGTAAGTTGGAGCGCACTGTAATTGTTTTACTTTGTTTCTTAATCTACTTGATTTTGTCTTCAATTTCCCTTTAATTCCAGGCTACCGCACGTCGGCCAGCTGATCAACGTCAGCGCGGCGAAGAAGATCGAGGTGGAGACGAGGAAGTCCGGAATTCGCGTGCGGATTGTTCAAGAAGATGGCGAGAAGGTAATTGATGATTTCTCTCTATCTCGCCCCCGCTCTCTGTCTCTGCCTTTCTCTCTCTTTTTCTATGTCCCTCTCTCTTGTTCCCTCTCACCCACAGTCTAGCTTTGGTGTTTTCTCTCTCGCTCTCCTACTCCCTCTCTCTCGCTCTCTCTGTCTCTCTTCACTCACTGTCTCTCTCTCTCTCTTTCTCTCTCGCACTCTCTCTCTCTCTCTCTCTCTTTCACTCTCGCTTTCTTTCCCGAATATGGTCTTGGCAAGCTAGCAGAGAACGTTTAGGAACATATGTGCCATTCATTTATCGCTTACCACATTAATTTAGCCTTTTCCAGGTCCACTTCAAGGTGAAAGCCGAGAACGCGCGCATCTGGGCGGCCAAGCTGTTTTGGTTTGAGAGTAAGTTTTAAGAACACAAGTTTCAGGAATCATGGTACCTTTAAAAATTGATTTTTTTTTCAGCCACCAGCGAGAACAAGACCAAAAACCACCCGGCGCACGACGCCTTCTGCTGCGAGCGCTCCAGGATGAAGTGAGATCTTCCGAAGATACCGAGTCGATCTCCCCTTTTTAGCATGGGCATCAGCTTCGCGAAGACGCGCCGGGTGAAGCCGACGAAGACGAGCAAGTCGGGCAGTTTGATGAAACCGTGGGTAGTGATGGGTTTTTTGGGTTTTAAAAGAGCTTGGAAGGGGGAATAGTTGGCTCAGCCCAACTAGGTTTAAGGCTTAAAAACAGGATAGTCCTCTTAAAACAAAATATCTAACCAATGGAGCGTTTTGTACTGATTTAAAGTGACATGGAAGTCAAGGTTGCGGATTTTGCTACATTGTAATTTTCAGCACATTTTTAGCGGATTTTTGGCCAAAAATTACAACTTTTAAAACCAAAAAAAGGAATTAAAAATTAGTTAATTTCCAGGCCATCAATCATCACATCGGTCGTCGACTCCGGCACGGCGTCGACAAAAGCGACGGCCCCCACCTCCGAAAAGCCCCCCATTTAACATGACTGACTTTGATTGTTCTTTTCTCTGTGATTACCTGAATTTAAAATAAATAAATGTTTTTTAATAATTTTGTAAAAGTCATTTGTACGGTTCAATCCTTCCTTAGAAAGTTTCAAAACATCTCGCTTGGAAAAATGCGGTTGAAAAAATCGCAGCTATTTTTTGTATATTCCCGTGTTTTTAGCTTCAACGAATCCAGAATTCTGATCTTTATTAGAACAGAAATATGGGCTTGGCGCGAGACCGAGTTTTTTTTTTTGCCACCTTCTCTTTGAGCCACCTCCATTTACGTCCAAAAACATTTTTACAAATATGTCTGTTTTACAAAATTGCTCGGAACCGCTGATGTTTTGAAGGGGATATATAAGAGGTTTTTCTGGTCTACTCTGATGAAATAATGAATTGTTCTCGTTTTTGCAATTCATGTGGAAATGTGACGGCACTCTCGCCACAGAATAATCTGATGCAGGTTTCGAAGCGTTCAAACGATTTTGAAATGCCGTTTAAAGAACGGTCCTCACTCCGTTGATTACGTCGATATTTTCACAGTAAAACACGCCATTTCAGCTCTATAAAGGAGAGTTCCTAAAAAATTTCTTGGAAATTGGCGTGTAGCCCAATCAAACCGAACTCATTCAATCTTGGATAGCAGTCCGGTAAAGATAGTATTATTGGAATTCGCTTGTCGATTTGTTATTTTTGGACATCAGATTTTGCAATTCTTCACGATTCCATCAACAACTATCGGTAACTTTGCAGCTCCAATCCAGCCATTAAAGTAGTATACCATAGCAATGAATGAGTGTATTTCTGGCATATGTATCGAATTTTGATAGTTGTAATTTTGACTATAAATAACTCTTGCAGGCCCACTCCAACTCCATGTAGCCCAATTTCGAGATCTTTCCTTCGGATTGCCTGGACCAGACCGAATTCGTTAAGTCTTGGATAGCAGTCTGGTAGCTATATTTTCCATTAAACTTGTCGTTGTTAATTCTTCGGGTGTTGTACCTGTGATTCCTATGGTTCTTCACCATGCGATGAACAACTATTGGCAGCCTTGCAGCTCCATTCTAGCTCGATGAAGGGCTATGCTCCAACTTTCTTGGCAAAAAGGTGTTGTACGCATAAGTGTCGATGTATATAGACATGTACATATCGCGTCAGCCATTTTTCGACTGCCAACTATACCGTGTAGGAATACGATCACCGTGATATCCGGCCCCTTGTTAGGGTAATCATGTCGCTTTGGTTCGTTCATTGACTAGAGATGCTTAGGGCTTTCTTTAATGCCAAAACATGTTGTTCGCAGCTATTTCTGGTGAGCTTAAATTTAAATTTTTCAATTAGAGTGGTGCTTCATAGTGTCTTTCAGTTCCCTTTTCCGAAATAGTAAATGGTCCTTTGATTAAATGAGTCCGGCTCGGATAAAATTGAAACTAGTGTGGATTTTAATTGAGCGCAGTTGCTGATGGCCCTATTTTTGATCATTCGAACAGTTTCTCGCTTATGCACCGCCAGTGTCAGCAGGGTATCCTGATTTTTTTTGCGAAAAAACAACTTGTAGTTATTGAAGCATTCTCCGCCGATGGCTGTGGGGCATACGGCAGCCATTAAATTTCACTGGCGTTGAATAGTTTATGATCTTGCTCGTTTGGAGAGTCTGGCCGTTGTTTGAGGGCTTGGTTTCTTTTACCTTATTTCATGACAAAATTTTCAATGCGTACGCCAAGAAAACCTCCTTTGTTTCGGCTAGTTTAGATTAATTTTCCGCTATAACGTATATATTCGATATTCAGAAATTTGTAATTTGGCCGACGCACCATATTGGAGCGGGAGATTTGTATCGGGTGCTTTTAGATTCCTTTGCAGAACTTAACCTGTACTGAAAAACCCATTGTTTGCAGCCTTCGATCACTGTTCTTCCGAGGAGTTTTCAAATGTCTAGCAATTAATGTTACATCATTGCTCTTCGTCATGCGTTGTTTTGCTATAAACTTTTCTTGTATCGCCGTACGGTTCTTCTGATATGTGTCAAAAAAAGAATTTTTCGCCATTGCCTACGATCGCATTCGCGGTACCGGAAAAGAGTCATAGAGCATCTAGTTTTCGACTAGTGCACTTGATTTATTGTTATTGTTTTTTTAAAATGAAAGACTCTACTCGATGCTTTAGATGCGCTATTTTAACCTTAATTTTTGAAGGATTCATTTCTTCCATGCATTTGGTAAAATTCCTCTTGAATTCACGCAATGATTAAAGTTATTTTGGACGATTAGATGGCTGTAGTACATATGACACAAAACGGGTTTGTGCAGTTGTCCGCATAAGTTGGGAGAACGCGGTAAGTCCACATAAATTCATTTTAATGTTATCAAGTACTCTGTGTTTTTCGCAAATTTTCATGTGCAGCCCCATTCCTCCAACCGCATCGGTTTAAATTCGATAAAATCAATTAAATTCCATGCAGTGATTAAAATTATTTTGACCGATCATTACGGCGACGTGTAATTGACGCGAAATCTTTCCTCCTAGGATTGCGGGATAACAATCGCGGACGGGTTCGTTTTTTGGACACAAGCCCATACTGGAAGGATATCATTTCTAAGCAATATTCCAGGCAGCCGTGGATTATCGTGATTATCGTTTAGCTCCTGTTGTTCTGTTCTACTTTCCGGAAAATCCTTCAATTTGTACATGAAGGCGTTATCGTCACCTTCCTTTCATGTACTTCTCTGTGTTTAGCTAATCGATCCGTGACATTTCTTCCTTTAGGGGCGGATCCTTTAAACATTATTGACTGATATTCTTTAGCATCATGTTTCCATTTACTGCTATCCACTAGCCTCCAACTTGTTTCATAATTCTTTTGCCTTTTTGTCTGACTTCTTTCCAGATACCATTTTTCGTTCCGGGGGTTTCTTTCTAGGCCTCAATGGAATATGCTGTAGTTATTACTCGTTGTGTACTCCAGTAGCGTATACGATTTTCTGTTCTGCGGATTTCCTTATGAAACTTCAGGTCAAACTTTTCCGCATGGAGTTGTGTCTCCGCAAGCGAGAACGAGCACCGTATTTTGCACACAAGCGCACTCGGGGGTTTTCATCTTCACAAGTTCTACTTACGGGAAATGTGGACTTACGTGCGTACTGACCGTTTGTCGCCGCGCTTCAGTTCTTCAGTATGACGAAATCCTTCATTTTGGAGAACTTTCGTTTTGTTTCGGACACTGAGGTACGCGGAATTCTCTTCTGGATTTCCAAAGTATATCTTGGTCGGCTCGTCCTTGAACAATTTATATATTTGTTCCCGACCAGATTTGCTTCTCTTTACCGTTATCTTCTAGCTTCCCACTTGTTTCATAATTCTCTTGCCGTTTTCGTTTATGTCTTTCCAGGAACCATTATTCGTTCCCGGATTTTTTTCTAGCCCTGCCTGGCATATTTTGTAATTATTACTTTTTTTATACTCCAGAGGAATAATGATTTTCTGAGATCTTTTACGACCCCTCTCGTCTCCGAGAAACCAAAGCATACTGGTTGGGTCGACAATGCTGCTTTTAAATTTTTTGATTAGAGTATTATTGGTCTTACGCGGCACGTCCATTGAAAATTTGTAACCTTTTTACATAATAAAAAATTATAAGAAGTATGCTCACGCATTTCGCGCAGTTTTTACGCGTTTCGAGCTCCGTTCGTCGTCAGCATACGAATTCCATATCCTTTTTGGTTCTTTTTTTGACGTAGCGTTTTTCATAGGCCGTTATATAAATCCCCATCAAATTATTTCATCTCGTGCGTGCTGTAAAGTACGTCACTGCCCTCTCGCTTCCCATGTACTTGATGATTTGAGCATGAACACCTTTTGCTCCCCTTCGTCAGCATGCGAATTTTATATCCAACTTGGTTTGTTTTCGTGCAGCGATTTTCATCGGCCTGGTGTTGAACAATTTCTCATTTTTTCCACCACATATAAAACCCCTGCAGATGATACGAACGGCAGTCTTCCGAACAACCTATTGAAAGCACTGTACCTTACGCTGTGTTGGAGAACAAAGGTGTATATAAAAGGGAAAAGATTCACAAAGAGAAACCGGGCCACAACAAAATTGGTGCCTCGCCCGGGAAATCAGCTACGTGCGGGCATTTTGACGCTTTGTGAGTGGTGCCATAGCAGTTTTGTGTGTAGGGTGGCGCTTTTGTCGTCAAAATGTCTAATTGTAATATTTTTAAATACATTTCGAAAATCGCTTCTGAAGATGGTCGTAAGGGTCAAGCTCCAAATTCATCATCACAACTGAGCACGCTGCCCGATTTCATGATGCTTTTCGCTATTATTTTTGCCCTTTTGCAGAAATGGCTGAAGAAGACGTGAAGATGGTGACGTTGAATTCCCATGCGTATTTTCGCAATTTTTCTTTTGGTTATAAAATAATATCTTTGACTTGCTTTCCCGAAGCGTTGTTCAAACAAGGCCCCAATTTTCGATCGACTAAGTCGGGTCAGTAAAGAAAATAAAGCGCGTTTTATCTTGTTCAGCAATTTTTAGACTTGATGTAATAAACTTATTCACACACTTGGTTTTCCGTTTCGATCTCCTTTCTTCTCGGCCGCTCGTGTCCGTTCTATGCCGATATTCGTAGTTTTGCACGCGCTCCCTTGCGACGTTCCTTGCACAGAGACGAAAGCAGGAACATTTTAGCTGGGAACACAATGTTTGCCATTTGGATATTTACAAATCGATTGACGTAAATTTGATTATGTTTCTAATTCGAATGACTACGTTTTTAGGCTGTATTTATGGTAACCGCTGTATCCCGGGAGGTAATTAACATATATCCACCCTTGGGCTTCGCATCGCGTTTTATATCGATCGATTTAGCCCGATTCTTGATTTTGACTTTGCCCGTTTTGATTTAGTTACAGCAGCCTATCTGGTTGATTTTGTTGATGGAACATGGGACCATTTCGACCCTGGGATCTCTGTCGATTTTT